ACAATTGGAATTATTTCATAGAGCTCAATGCATTAAATCCAGCCATCCCCACTAAATCCCTAACATTGCCCTTCTTAATGTACTCAGAAGTGGATATAAATGAACATGGGAAAGTAAAACTGTTTTAAAAAGCTATCTAAACTGAAGAAAGGAGACAATCTTTGGACCCTAATGAAAATCTAAAGAAGCAAGAGGAAGAAACTTAAGATGTTTGAAGAAAAAAGCTAAAAAATCTAAAAGTTCAATCACTACCTAATAAGTAGTATGGGACTGCTTTTAGGAAATACATTTTCAAGAATTTGTTTTAGAGCTGGTACATTTGCAACTTGACTTTTAACAGTCTCAATCAAATCCCAGTTTAATCATTCTCTCTTTCCAGGAAGCTACTAATAGTGTGCTGGATCTGTCTGTGCAGCCGGACGATGTGATAACCGACCTGTTCTGTGTCTTGGGAACAGGCTGTGGGCAGTACGGCTGTGAGCTGAAATGTAATGAGGGAGGATGCGAGCTGGTGTCTCGGGTCTGTCCTGTGGGCTTCTCTATGACAGAGACAGCCAGTGGAGTCACTTGCACAGGTAGACATTTCTTCACTACAGATCTACTGTAACAGAACACACAAACTCTGCCTTCTCAGGATCAGGAGCAAGTAGAAAGTAACAGAAGTAAAAAGCAAGAACAGAAAAAACATGACAAATGTGGAGCCATCTAATACATACCCAAAGATCGTTCTATAGCCAAAAGATTGTTTTTTCTTCTTTAATGCAAATACAGTGAATCAGTCATATTTGACTGTAAAGAGAACTTTTCCCTGGTGATATCATCTTTACAATACTTCATGAGTACAAGCCCCAGAATGGATATGAGTTCCCTGTAGAGAAGACCTTGGAACATCGTAAGAAACAAAGGAGATCATCAGAACTGGTGTTGCAAGGAACTTCTGTCAAAAAGAAGAATCGCAATATGATTTGAAACTCATATTACATATACCGTAATACTACATATTACAGTTGTTCATTTGTTTCAAATTTTTCAAATTCACATTTAAAGAGCCTAATTGTCATATCTGATGAATTACAATGCTGCCAAAGCAACAAATAATTTAGTAGTTTGGTTAGATCCTATTGAATGCAATAGAGAGATAAATATGTAAGTATTTGGCATGACTTCCCTGGCTGAGGGAATGGCATCTATCTGAGATGATAAGCTGCCCAAAGTGAGTTGGGAGTTTGCTCTAAGGGTGTAGTTGGGAATGTAGGAGGTGCAAGAGAGATACACGAAGGGAAGACCTGGGTGGGAGCCTGGTATTGTGTATGTAGGCAAGCAAAAGTGTGCAAGATTAGGATCTAACCTTCCTCCGGAACTTCTGTTATAAACTCCATTTAATAAAAACATTTGCAGACATTTACAATAAAATCCCATTTTAACTTTGTCAGAGCTCTGGCTGTAAATTTTCAATCAGCAGGAGTCATGTGATGGAGACAAAAGTAGACCTGTGAGGAGACCAAGCTTTTTTTGTTGAACTCTTTCTGTTTCTGTATGTTCTGTCCATTTTTCTGTGCAAAATGTAATGTGATTGTATGGCTGGCCTTCGGCATGTTTGTCTATGCCGATTTTGTTTCTGGATCACTTTCCATCCTAGGGAGGCTGTGTAGGACAATGCCAATCTCCCATCTCACTGATGGCATCTGCCTTTCCAGATATTGATGAATGTTCTGAAAGCTGGTCGCCATGCCAACAGCAGTGCTTGAACACTGCAGGAAGCTATCAGTGCTCCTGCCGACCTGGGTTCTACCTTCATCGCAATGGCCGTACTTGTAGAGGTATGGTATGCCCTCCTGGGCAACAAGGTTTTCAACCCAAACCTATCAGCCTTAATATTAAGCACAGTATATTGAGCTTTCCTTGTATAAAGTATTCACAATCCTCATAGTCACTGACAAAGACAACCCAAAAGACTTCTTCAACACAAACCAGTGGGCCCAAGGTAAATCAAAGAGGAAGTGCATTGAAAACTGAGCTAAGGGTAGCTTGTTCCATACTCCCACAACTCTTTGGATAAGTCACCCTTTACACAAGGGGGTTGAGGGAGTATGGAACAAGCTACCCAACAATGTGATTGAAAATAGTACTTTGGTTTCATTCAAGAAACAGCATAAGAGTTATGTGTTGGAAACTACTGTATCTCTGAACCACAGCAAAAAAAGATTAGATAGCACCAGCAAACTGTGATTAGGTTGCTGTTGACCACATCATGTCTGCCACAGATGTGCTGCCTTCTTTGGGCCAAATTCTTGTTTTACTTAAGGTCAGCTCCATAGTTTATTTGTTTAGAGCCACTCTGCTAATTAGGTAATTTTTTAACTGAAATCTGTGGCAATTTGAATGTGTAACTGATAGCTGTTGCTTACTTTTTAGTTCTGTTTTCTCTATACCCTACTGTAAATTGTAAGTATTGCCTTTGGTAGAATAAGTATCAAATTTGAGTAATTCCTTTGTGATTCCTGAGGGTTTATACACACGGTCCAGAAGACTGTGTGTGATGTTGTTATAGACGCTTCTCCTTTAACCATCCAAGAAGTTAATGTTTTTATTCCTGGTGAGGGTCACTGAAACCCAGAGAATGTCCTAAAAACATGGGGCTCAAGGTGTGACCACATCCTGTAGGAGCCACCAGTCCATGAGAGGGCACGCACATGCACACAGACAATTTAGAAAAATATGTTGATCTAGAGAACATGTTTCTGTAGCAGTAAGGAACTGGATCATCTGGAAAAGACATACATGAACATGGGAATAACATGCAAATGCTACACAATAACTGTAACAACTCTAACAGCAATACTTATTAATAAACCACAGAATTAAGTGTTCCTGCAGATTTTCAGTGTGGCCCCTCTATGTGGTCGTAGCCACAGAATAACCTATTGATCTTTGCATGCTGGAATGCAGGGAAGAAGAGACTTTACGATAAGCAGCATCTCTCACGACAGTGACACAAAACACAACAATGCTTCTTGTGGTGCCTGGATGTTTAGTGGATAGTGGATATCTGAATGGTGGTCCTAATATAATTTGTTATATCTTGGTAAAAGTCAAGTAAACGACCTGCCAGATTGTTTCATGTATTTACGTAGATATTGTATGTATACTGTAAATACATATCTTCTGTGTCATTTGAATCTGTGTTCAGAATGTTTTTTATTCTGTAGAGTGAGTCCTAATTGCCACGAAATGCTAATGCAATTTACTGTTACATTTAATAAATTGTGCCAGTAAATTCACACAACTCCTACACACCTCACACCAGTAGAGAATCCGACCCAAGGGCTTTAAAGTACTAACAGCCACTTTTGAACATCATGATTCATTTGATTGATTGTTTTTCCTAGTTGCTTTGGCAGGATTGCAAACTTTATGAATCACTGAGCACTTTCTCTTTTGTCTGTCTCTTTATCTGTCAATTTATCTGTACAGATGTAGATGAATGCTCCAGCCCTACTCGGTGTCATCAGCGCTGCATCAACACTGTTGGCAGCTTCCACTGTGCCTGTCGCCGTGGATACCGCTACAGCACCCAGAGACACACCTGTACAGGTAAACAAAGCCTACAAATGTCTCAGGAATGCATTTTCTCATTTTTTAATATATAAGTTCAAATGTTTATTTATATGTGTGCCCCAGAATCAGTGTGCCTGTTAAAATAAGAGGTGTACACAATATGAATAGCTAGAGAACATTTGAAGAATGGTAATAAAGAAAAGGAGGCCATTGAACCATTTTAGCTTGTTTTATAATTAGTAGCTATTAGATCCGTATTACAGATCACATTCTGACATAACACTAGCTTAAACCTCGAATGAGGACAGCATGGTTTTTTAGCATTGTGCCTCACAGCACTAGTTCTTTGGGTTCAATTTCAGGACCTACAGTGCTATCTGCATGGAATTTGTATGTTCTCCCTGTGTTTGTCTGGGTTTCCTCTGGATGGTCTGGTTTCTTCCTGCAGTCCGAAGACATACTGGTAGGTTAGCTGGCTTCTGGGAAAACTGGCTCTGGCATGAGTCTGTGCATGGCTGCATGTGCCCTGCAATGGACTGGCATCCGATTGGTGGTGTGTCCCACCTTGTACCCTTTGCTTGCTGGGATAGGCTCCAGCTCCCCCATTACCCTGTATTGGATGCAGCAGTTAGAAAATTGATAGATGGATGGACTACTTTAAACCAATGGGATGAGAGCAAGATGAGCAGCAATAAAGAAATTCCAGGTGGTACATCTCCTTCCACCAGAATGTGTTGTTATGAGTGTTGTTGAGAATGTTGTTACCAGAGACCCTTTTGCTGAGCATGCATTATGCAGGGATTCTAACAGGTATTCACAGTAACCAAAATGGCTCCAGGACTGAAGCAGTCCTTCAATAATTTACCCTGTCCTTTAAAAACACTATTTTTCTAAACTACCTGTTTGCAATGCACAATTCTCACATATTATTGTGACCCCTGGTGACTCCACACTATCTGAAATTGGTTTGCTTAGACACATCCTCAGGTAACATTTCTATTCTTCTGGCTGCTGATGAAGTGTCAATCTGTGTGGTGTTTTGATGAGTCGAATTTACTGAAACAATTAAAAATTGGAACAGGAAACTAGAATAGAACTAGAAATGAATATAGAATAGAATATACAGTTTTATGACCAAAATAACAAAACATGCAAAATAAACCAATTCAGGAGCAAATGTAAATGAATCAAATTGTTGTTGTACAAATGGCTGGGCAAACACTTGGGGATTACACAAGATATTAATCCAAACCATTAAACTACACTTGACTAGAATACCCGTTATAAAACGTGATTATAATACTCATTCAGTTACATTCACATGCAACAGAGAGAAGTGAATATTCAATTACTTACTTGAATTAATCTTCATAAAACACTGGTTTGGAAAAATAATTTAATTCTCCAGTGTGAATGAGACTGCAAATCCAGTTGCAGCCGTTCAATCCTTGTCCACTGGTTTTGTGCCAGATGAAGTCCTGAATGCCAAAGAATGTCCAGTGGGAAGCTCTGCTTAGTACTTTGCTGAAGATGACTCCTCAAATGCAGCGTGCATGAAATCGGACTCGGCTCCAGCTGTTAGTCAGACTCAGATAGGATGAAACATAGAAGAATCCTACAGACAGTACGAGGAAACAATAAAAAAGACAAAATATTCAGCTATAAAGTAAAGTGTAATGAATTCAGAACAAGATATATCGTTTTAAAATTGTACTTATAGTAGTTTGGCCTCATTTAGAATACTGTGTACAATTTTGGTTACCATGTTACAAAAAAGATATAGGTTCTCTGGAACCAGTCCAGAGAGGAGCAATGAGATGCATTCCAGGACTTTAGAGAATGTCTTACAGTATATTGAAAGGCTGATAGATCTGAACTCTAAAGAGAGGACATTAAGAGGACTTAAGACAGGTATTCAGAATTCTCAAAGGCATTGACAAAATGAACCCAGAGAACTTCAAAATGAACATTCATGAAAAATAACCAGAGGACACAGGGGAAAACCATGTGAAAGTTCATTTATAGCTAGAAAAGGTGGCACTTCTCTATCCACAGGGTTGTGGGAGTCTGGAACTATACAGCTATGTGATTGAGGACAATACCACATTCAAATAATGGTTTCATCAGATCCTTGGATCATTTAACTACAACTAATTGGGCTAGACTGGGCAAATGGCTTCCCGTCATGTGTAACCTTTCTTATGTTAGTTATGTTATAGTCTTCAAAAAATGGAATTTGCATTGTGTCTGTATAATTACAGATGGCATTCTGTAATGTAAGAGTAAGCGTGACTTTAGTCATTTGGCAACATACAGTAGTATAACTGTAGTACATATTGTTAAAATACTGTATATAGTTATAAAGTGAAAGCACAATCCAACCACATGCCCAGATACCTGTAATCCATGACTATCCCCAACTTTGTTTTATTTTTAGTAAGATTAATATATAGTTATGGGTCATTACAGATTACCAAGGAGATGCAGTCGAGCTGTCATTGACCTGTTAAACACACAACTGGCACTAATGTTCATTGTTTGAATTAATCATGTTTTTCACTTGTCACATGGCTTTTGATAGTCAGAAGGACACAACATTCTCATTCTTGTGCTGTACATTGTCCATGTGGATGTGATTGCAGCATTCGCCAATGGGGTGGGTGTACAGTAAATGATGTCGGCAGAGCTTCGTAAGCGTGCCCTGACCACCTCTCTGCTTGCAGATATCGACGAGTGCCAGAGGCTGCCCCCGCCCTGCCAGCACCAATGTCTCAACGTCATTGGCTCATTCCGCTGCAGCTGTGCGGAGGGCTTCCGGCTGCTGTCTGGCGGGCTGCACTGTGAGGGTGAGCTGTCTCTCTTCCACCTCAACAGCTTTCCTCTCACGTCTGCTGGACTGCAGTCACTCCGTGCCGTTTTTTCGGCTGGGTTATTTTGTAAACGTTTACTCAGTCTTTACTGGCTCTAGAATTTTGTGTTGTGTGTTGGAAGTGCATGCCAGAGTGAGAGGAAAAACTATTAAATGGCAGGAGGTGGTTTATGAAACCTTGCTCTACTAATAAAAATAAGTCATGGCATTCAGTTAATTATACACCGTATCATGTTGTAATAAAAATACTTCACAAAATTCTTAAGCAGGCTGATACATCTGGAAGTAATTAATTGTTTTAAATTGACACTATTAAGTTTGTATTTCTTTGGTATGTTAGATAGCTTCCCCTTTTTACCAAGATGGGCATAATGACAAAGCAACATAAAAATATTTAAGATCAAGTACAGGCCACCAGCTTGGTATATGTAATGCAAATTTTGCATCTTGCACATGTCGACATTAGATTAGATGATACATGTGTCTGCCCAGTTTTTAATCATGTTTTTATACTTGCTACTTCTCCTCTGTTCGCAGCTCTCCTGTTTTTACCTAAAAATAAAATTTTATATAAATGTTATGGAGAGTCAGCCCAGAGGCCCTGCGGAGAAACCTCATTTATGCCGCTTGTATCCGCGATCTCGTTCTTTCGGTCATTACCCACAGCTCATGACTATAGGTGAGGACAGGGACGGAGCTCAACAAGTAAACCGAGAATTTTGTCTTCAAACTCAGCTCCCACTTCACCACCACAGTGCCCGCAAAACAGGATTTTTAAACATTTCTGCATTTTAAATTTCCACTCCATGAGCTCCTAATCTGAGGAAAACTGAATTCTCCAGTTATTATTCCATGCTTTCCTACATCTACTTATGATCTCATCACGCAAGAAAGTGATTTTATTAGAATTTTAATTTGATAACTTATAGCACTCTCTTATTGTTAATGCTGAGGGTTGAAACACAGTGATTGTCAATTGTTCATGAGAACTGTTTGGATGCTGTTATTATGTAATAATAGTAATAATATTTATGGGAAACTCATGTATTCTGTTGTCATTTTGAGTTCAATGGGTACGTTTGTGTTTGCTGCTATTCATTGTAACTGATAGCATGCCATTTTTTTTCCAGATGTGAATTGTGGTATAATTTTGTTATTCTAGATGTGGATGAATGTACCTTGATTCAGAACAGCCTATGTGATCACATCTGCATCAACACACCTGGGAGTTTTCACTGCAGTTGTTATGAAGGCTACATCCTCAGTGAGGACACGAAGTCCTGCACAGGTAGAAAGTCCAAAATATTAGCAGGAATGCAAAATATTAGCAGGAATGCAAAATATTAGCAGGCCTATGCAAAAAGTGGTGGTATCACTGCAACCACACTTCTGGATTTTTGTTATTACTACTACTAAATAACAAATGCCCTTGTAAAGGGTTAGCATCTCAACATCCTAATGAGTGAAAGACCAGGTTTGTTGTCCTAGTACAGATCCCTGTGGTACTCCCCTTATTATATCACCCTACTTTGAACCTTTACCCTTTATCTGCGCTCTTTGTTTCTTATTAATTTACAAGTTCTCAATCCAGTTTTGTTTTCCACATTTCCCTGAATGCCTTCTGCCTGTAATCATCTGGTTTAGTTCTAACTTAGATTTATTGATCTATAATTACTTGGGTTGTTTTTTTCACTTTTCCTATAGATGGGCGCTAGACTAACTATTCCGCAGTCCACGGATACTATCCCTGACTTAAGAGACTGTGGGAAGAATTCTTAGTGGAAGGTACTTTGTCTCATAACTGTGCTTTTTGTTTCAGGTCTGCCAGACCCTGTGGGCTCTACAACTATTCAGGAAATACCTAGGCTACTCCTAAAAAAGATTGGTACATCAGCTCCTGAAAGCACAGAGCCTTTGCTAAAATACTCTACCTCAACTTTTCCAGCAACCAAACCCTCTTCATTAATATCATATTCAGCTCCTTCCAGTGTACAGACAATGACTTCAAACTTAACATTTTCACAATATCAGCCCTCTGTTAAGACCTTTAAAGACATTCCTAATACAAAGCATGTGCACTTGATAGATTTCACCCCAGAAATGACACTTACTACACTGCAGTCCTTCAGTGTCTCAACAGATGGAAAGTCATTACCTCATTCTACAGCCTCTCCCACAAGTGAGGCCTATGCAAACTCAAAATCTCTTCTACAAACCCATCCACTATTACTATTATATTCATATATAGCTTCTATATTTCCTCCTATTTCAAACAATCACCATAGAGCTCTGCACTCCTCAGAGGCCTCAGACAATATTCTTCCCACATTGCACACTCTCCCTAAATTTTTTTCCTTTCCTGAGGTGCCTCCAGTTACCTCTACATATGTTGTATCTGCTGTGCCATCCACCCTTCAGGTCACACCAGTGCCCTCTTTCACTTTATACACTCCAACCCCTCTTTCTCCCATTGTAACTCCCAAATCATGCACCCACCATGAGGACACTGTCAATCCAGTTATACCACCTATGACCTCTCCACTCTCACAACCTAGTCTTTTGGCCTTTGTTCCCTCGCATATTCTTTCTAGAGTCCCTTCTCATTCACAAATTACCTCTGCATCTCCTCTCTTCATGATGACTACATCAGCTTCCCCTGTCTTTAACTTGCCACCACCTAATGTCCCATTAAAAAGGTTTACTCCAGATTTCCAACTATACCCCACTTCATGTCCTCTGTACATATATAAAGAAGACATAAATGCTTTCACTCACCTTTCTTATACCCCACTAAAAGAATCTATTTCAGCCCCCTCAAATTTCCTTCCCCATACAGAGAAGAATCTGGCTCAGACATTATTAAACGGCCTTGATCAAAGTGATCCTCACTCCACACACTTCTCCAGCCCAGAAGACTTTAATGCAATGCACCCCACTCCGCCACTGACTTCACACGACTTCCTTACTCAAAGCCACACAACATTTGCCTTGCTCTCCAAATGGCTACAGTCTGCATGGTCTGTCTCCACAATTCTCTCAATACAACCTTATCCAGCAACAGCAGTGCCTGTCACAACTCAAACCCTAAGCTCATTCACTCTACGGACTGAGGCACAGCAGCTAACTCCATCGACCTCAACCACACAGTGCTCATACTCACAGAGCAGCTCACTCCACTCCTTTGTATCCATCCCACTCCAGCCTAGTTCACAGAACTCAATTCCATTCATAGGAGGTGACTATGATGCAGAACCTCATATCCATCCATATGCAGCCACAGGAGAGCAACTAATGAGGGCTGCACCTTTAGACCCCCCTCCTACAGATGTTGCTGCTCCTGCCCTCACCCCTTCCAGCACAGGGGCTCCACTCACACCTCCACTACCTTCACTGTCCCTTTCTCCAGCGCTTACTACACCCCTTGGCTCTGGGATAGCCCCGCTCCCCGCCCCCCTCCCAATACTGACTGCAGTACTCTGCCTCCATCAGGGGACACAGTACAGTGAAGGCAGCAGCTGGCTGGACGCAGACTGCAACAACTGCACCTGTCTGGTAGGACACCTTTTCTTATTGTCTCCAGCTGTCTTGACTTACACTTTTATGCAATGAGCTATATTCTCTGAACGGAATACTCAGAAGTTAATGCAATCCCACGCTGAAAAGTACAAATAAATAAGAAGTTTTATTTATCTTATTTATCAGGGGAGAGAGCAGGAATAGGGGCAAAGGGTTACTGGAATTATAGTGTATTCAATCAACCCAAAGCATAAAGATATTTACTGTACAATAACGGTATTAAAAATAGGGTTTTGCTTTTTCTTGTTGGAACTGTAGAACACCTTTCATGTCTTTCTGAAGCTGAGAATGTAACCTAATTAAATCTCTCCTGTAGACAAACCATTTAATGTTTGTACAGTAACAAGTTATTTTTATAAATTATGAAGATAATTGTTGGGACGCAAGAAGACACAGTTAAGTAGGTTAGATTGAATATCCATCTGGAATGCAGAACAAACTCAGTGTCTTTTCTGCTATGAATTAAAATGACTTTCAGGGACCTTTCATCCAAGCACAGCACAGGCTGTATTACCATAAAGGAAAGGACAGGGACGAAGCATATACAGTATTTGAAAACAGAATGTAAAATGGCATACATGATATAGGAATAGTTTAAATATGAACAGAGAATGCATAATCGGATGACCAGATGTCTGAGAATGTCACGAGTTGTTTTGATTAGTTAAACATCTTACTGCCAGACTCAATCAGCAGGAGTGCTGCCTGCCTTCTTTTGATAATGGAATTGCTTCTAGCTGAATTCTGCAGTATGTAATACCACGATTCTAAGAGAGGTGTCAAATAATGATGGTGGTTTGTTTGGAAGGACACAAGAGACACTATTTGCTGTATGAGAAAGCAGAATCATGAGCAAGTATTTTCAGAATCACCTGGAAAGCTATGTAATACACTCGTTTCTTGATAAAAAGCAATACTATATACAGTACATACTGTACATACCTACGTTTGTTAGACAAGTGAACTTACACACTGATACAAACGCAAAGCATGTTGTTTGTTCTTCTGTATTTATTTTTTTGTCCTCTTGGATGCTACCTACAAAAGCACATTGCTGCCATCAAGGAAAAAATATATATTTATAAATATAATAAATATTATATATTATAATATATATAAACATGAAAAATATTTAATGTGGTATCTCTTACTAACGAGAAAATGATATCTTAATTACAAGATAGTACATTATCTTGTAACTATGAGATAGTAAATTATCTGCTAATTCAGAAATTTCAATGACCATTTGAGTGTATGAACAAACATTATGAATGAACTTGAAACCATCGATAGCTCAGCTGGTGTCAGTGTTTGTGACAATATGCAGAATGTGCACTGACTTATTTCCGTAATGAAATGTTACAATTTGTACCTAATGTAAACACAATCATTATAACCATAAGGATACTTATACTTATCCTTAAATGAGAAAGAGTATACCTTGCAATTGATTCCATTGCTTAAAACGGAAAGTCAACTAATGGTTATGTGACAATGTTGCTAGCTTGTAATTATCACATTACATACACAGTAATGTACTTTCTTGTAATTACTAGATAAGTTACTATCTTGTAATAACGAGATCATGTTCTTGTAATTACAAGATACCACATGAAATATTTTTTTCTTTGATGGCTGCAATGTGCTTCTGTAGTTGTCTTAGGCAAGCATGATGAAATTACATTTTATTAGAAAACACCCAAGAATTAAGTACCATTAAGTGACCACTATAGAAAACTATTAGTTTTTGTTTATTCATGATATAGTCATTTCTACCAGTTTTTCATTTAAACAGCAGAGTTTCACTTTTAAGAGATGGACTCTCGTTGATGTTTTTTCCAAGAAATTTAGTTTTTACTTTTTTTATTTTATATATATTTTGAGTGCTTACAGTACAGTATAGGATAGGACATAATGCTTCAATTTGCTAAATATTGTGATGTAACTGCTGTTTATGTTTATGCATTGGCTAATGACTAATGAAGCATGTAAGTCATATAATTAATGAGGAATTGTATTGTTTTCATAATAAGACACCAATGTACAGTCTTAATGTCACTAAACATCAGAACTGCTATACAGTTGCTTAAGACTATACAGGGATTATAAGGATATTATAAAAGTTATGATGTAGAATAATATTTTAAATGTATAGTTGTAAAAATAATATTGATTCATGACTTTTAACATTTTAAATAAAAAAAGTTTTATTCTGATTATGTGCTCGATGAACACACATTATCAATATCTCCAGACAGATTGTTTCATTTCATATGGTTCATGTGTACTACAAAGATCATACAATTTTTTTTATCCACATAACTGCTTCATAATGCAGAATTACAAAAATGACGTGCTGGTAAATTCTTCTTGTTGTAGCATATACATACTGTAAACTAGCCATTTATTATGCCAAACTATTTAATACATAAAAAACTACCTAAACTCAACAGGTTTATACCCATTTATGAACATTTTTGTAGGGAATCTGAGATGTTTTGTAGAGCACAAATTTTGGAACCAATTGTGCTTATATAACAAGGGATGATTATATAGGTAATAGCGGAAAATATAATTAAAGACTGATTAGTTCTCAGAGAGAAGCTGTCCTTAGGATTGAACTGTCTTCTGGTCTAAACTGTTCTCAGGGCTGAAGTACTCTTGAGGCTGAGTTTACATTTGGGATCAGTACTTGCTGACCTTTTTCCAGCCTCACTGAATGACACTTTATACTTTAATCCTTTTCACTCTCAATAGAGATTCTGTTAATGAGATGAAGTATATTCAGTAATTCATCAAGTAAATCATAAAATGCCTTAAAACTGAGCTTGTCCATAAAAAAATGGTGAAAAGAAGACAAACTCTCCTTTGTCCTTGTGTTCGGCAGAAAGGCTCTGTGATTTGCCATGACGTGACTTGCACAGTTTCCTGTACACATCCAGCCTGGGACCCTGACCAGTGTTGCCCCACCTGCAAGCGTGAGTCCCTAACAGACTACTGGCTGGGGGACAGTGACATGCCAAGACACAGACTGACAGAGCAAGAGTAAACATATGGATCGCTAGGGACCAAAGGAGTAATTCAGACTGGCAGAGAACGTAGTGATTGATGAACTACAGAGAGACTGTTGACCAGATTAGCTGAAGACCAATGTCTTTCCAGGGACTGAGAAAGGGGGTGATGCAGATCTGATCGACAGTATGATTGTAGTAAATCATGTTTATGGACTGGCATTGAAAAACCTAGTCAGTAGTGATGAAGTATATACAGATGCTCAGTAATATCAGGTATTATGTAATTTCCTTTTATAAAGTATGTTCAACATAATTGAAGCATAATACAATATCTAATAAAAGATACATGAAAAAACAGTTTACATAATCATTTTTAACCACTACATGGTGTTATTTATCAGCAGTTCAGAAGGAGTTCAAATTCTAACGTTACACTCCTGCTCCTCCACATATACTGTACATACTGCCTAACTGACCTTCCAGGAGTGGTTTAGAGTCAACTGTGCTGATAAAGTCTAAGCTCTCAAGACAAATTATATTTGAGTGATATATTAATAAATATTAATCATATTTTTTGATGCTCATGATCATGTATGTTTATTTTTCTTACTTCATTCACACTCCAAACTCCCTTCCCCTGTCTTTTTCTCTTGGTGTTTGTTTTTCTGTGGTTCAGGTTGCCTGTACCAAGGTCTAGTTCTGGAGGACGAACATACTTTCTCTCCTGAAAATGATAGCTGCACACTATGTCTCTGTCTGGTGGGTGTGGGCGTCTCAGTGTATATATTTGTGTAAATATGTGTAGATATGTATGTTTTGTTTCTGTTTGTATCAATTTATTTAAGACACCATAGCTCTATTTTATATATATGCTGAAGGAACAGCTGTCCCGCTTTCAGATGGAACTTTTATTACATTTTTAAAACATTATATTATAATGTCATTTAAGAAATTTGCATCACATTTAAGGTATTTTCAAACACTTAGAAATTATGTAATAACAAATCTGTCAGTCCCATGGAACTATTTTCACGTGAGAAGAGCTGTACTAATGTTTTACAAGTGTCCATCACATCTCTTATTAAATGTCATAATGAGTGGGTATCTAAGTTCTGAATATTAGTGATGACTGCTTTTTTCTACAGGCAGGCAATGTGACATGTTTATCTCCAGTCTGTCCTCCTGTCAGCTGTGCCCAGCCTGTGCTCTCTGATTGCTGCCCACTGTGCCCAGGTTTGCACTGTTATATTGTATTTAAATAGGGTTTGCTATCATCATCAAAGTTGCTCAAACAGCATTATCAAAGTTGATTGAACAACAGTCCATAATTTTGTCTGCAAATTAAAAAAAACATGGGGCAGTGGAATTAAGGAATATTGCTTTGGAAGATGAAGGATTATTGATTATGGATTATACAATTGTGTATAGGTTCTGTATCCCATTGTTCTTGGTGTACTGCAATAAGGAATGCATGAGGCATTTACAGCAGTTCCGTGCCAGTCTTCCCTCTTGCAGTATGGCCACAGCATACAAACACAGAACAAATTCACACAACAAATAACTCTTAATTGCATATTACCAGTCGCAGTAGCAGTCTTAGTATTCTGTGAGATTTCATACTGTTTTACAGTCTGTCTGTATTTCAGTCCAGTGCATGTACCTCGGCCAGGAGTACCCAGAAGGTTCAGAGTTCTCTTCACCTGGTGACAGCTGTGCCACTTGTGTCTGCCTGGTACGCTCTCTGACTCTGTCCATCCTTTGGCCAGCCCATCTATTTGACTCTATACACATGTACTTTCTTTTCTACTATATCTATGTTGTCTTCAAGCCTCACCTTGTCTTTGCGACTCTCGTCTGTTGGCTAGATGACCTTATTTCACTGTGAGTATGTCTGTTTGTTTCACTATCCCATACCCATCTTTGTAAAAAATATGACTTAATAACTATTTAACAACTTTTACAAATTTCATCTGGCTGGTGCTTTTATTCAATGTGATTTACATTTGTAAAGCTGGATATTTTACTGGAGCAATATGGGTGACATACCTTACTCAAGGGTACAACAGCAGCTTTTCACCTGAGATTCGAACCCACAACCTTCCAATTAAAAAAAGTCCACTCCTTTAAGGCACCAGTGTGCAGCAGGGTTTATGGTTCAGGCTTCCTATTATAGCGGTCTTCAGTTTTTCTTCGCATGCTTGGTGTTGCGTGTTGTTATGCGAGTCGTCTCAGCCTGCTATCCCATTGTCTCTGTCTGCTTCTATCCAGAATGGACAGGTTGACTGTTTCTACCCCCCCTGTCCAACACTGGACTGTCCTTTAGAAGACTGGCTGCGGGAAGGAGGGAATTGCTGCCCCACCTGTGCTCAGACACAGAAGAGAGAAGGTGAGAGAGAGGGAAGCAGAGCTGAAGGAAAAAAGACGTGAAAAACACACAAACAGGAGCTGCAGTGTACAGTAGTGGTTAATGCTCCAGCTTTGTGTCTGGAAAGTTGTGTATTCCATTCTTGGGTGTGGCAATTTAAGCTGTTTTACCCTTTAGAAAGCAAATGCCATGCTGGATAAATGGCTATTTTCTATGTTCAGGTGGGTAGCTGTGTCAGCATGCGTAGGCTGCAAAGGAACAAGTAATAGGTTTATTCCATGCTGAAAAAAAGAAGAAAGAGAACACAACGTTTCGGCCGTGGAGCCTTCTTCAGGTGTGAGAGAGACAGGGCAGTAGGCAAAGGTAAAGTAGCGGGAGAACAAAGGTTGAGAGGGAGGAGGAGTGAGAGGCGGGAGCAGGGGACAGAAAGAGAGGCCAATCAAGAGGTGTGAAGTCAGAATGGGTGCAGAGAGGTGTGAAATGAAACTTCCAATGAATGGAGAAAATTTAAAAGAACAGTAATCTGTCGTTAAGGGAAGGGAGAATGTGTGATCCTAGCTGCAGAATAATTTTAGTTTCGGTGGTCTTTCTAAAGAACGCTTCTTCGCTTCCTACACTGGCTATGTCCCTGACCTCTACAAACGATATATTGATGACTGCGTCGGTGCCGCCACATGCTCCAACGATCAGCTTGAATCCTTCCTGCACCATTTCACCAACTTCCACCCGTCCCTCAAATATACGGTTAACATTTCTTCCACCACTCTTCCGTGTGGAACTGTGTGACTGTGTGACTTCCGTGTGGAGTCAGGAGACTCGGAGACCGCTTCAGAGAACACGTCAGGGCTGTGAAGATTAAAGATCTCTCCAAGCCCATTGTTTCTCATTTCACCTCTGACGGCCACGACCACTCTAATCTCTCCGTCTGTGTTCTCAAAGACGGTTTTCCGAACTCATACATTAGAAAGACCACCGAAACTAAAATTATTCTGCAGCTAGGATCACACATTCTCCCTTCCCTTAACGACAGATTACTGTTCTTTTAAATTTTCTCCATTCATTGGAAGTTTCATTTCACACCTCTCTGCACCCATTCTGACTTCACACCTCTTGATTGGCCTCTCTTTCTGTCCCCTGCTCCCGCCTCTCACTCCTCCTCCCTCTCAACCTTTGTTCTCCCGCTACTTTACCTTTGCCTACTGCCCTGTCTCTCTCACACCTGAAGAAGGCTCCACGGCCGAAACGTTGTGTTCTCTTTCTTCTTTTTTTCAGCATGGAATAAACCTATTACTTGTTATTTTCTATGTTGTCATTCTCAATGATAACTTTTTCTCAATAGCCAAATCTGGATAAATGAATGCTTATTATAGCATACCCTATTGCTTGGCCATACATGCAAATTATTAGTTCCCAGGAAGTCTCATGAGAGGATTTTACTTACTCTATGAGCAGGGAATAGTAACAATTGAGATTCACTCTGAGACAAATTAACGAGAAGAATAAAAGTTTATATGGCTCTATAAATATACATAAACAGGTATATTGTACTTCTTCCCGGAATACAAAGTAAATTGTATTCATTTTATGGCCACTGAGTTCTCATTTGTAAGCAATGTAGATCGTTACATATGTTTATTCTTATTGAAGTGAACCACAATAGGAGAGAGTAACAGGGAAACTACAGATCATCTAGAGACAAACTGGATGTATGATTGCAAGGAACAGTGATGCTCTTTTTCCTCAGCAGGCTGTTCTGTGGATGACAATGGGTTGGAGTTTCCAGTGGGACAGATCTGGTCTCCTGGAGACCCCTGTGAGACCTGTGTGTGTCAGGTTAGTAAAGAGACGGTGGGTCTGAGTGTGCGAGAATTACATGGAACTTCTAATAATTGACCTGATCCAGATTGAAGCAACATGAGAAATAAGGAAACAAGGACCAATGTCAATAAAGTGAAAAATATTTATAGGGTCGGTATTTGACAAAGACCAATTCAACCAATTCATAGAGGTAATTAAAGTGGAACTGCAGTCCCAGTTTCTCAGCCCAATTAGTAGATCTCGGTAACAAAATGAACAAAGAGTGGGAATTTGCAAGACTTATAACCGGCCTTTCCTGTTCAACAGTCACTGTAATGTCTCAAGTACTGCGATGTACTTGCAAGTAAGTACAGGTTATACAGCAGACACTTCATTGCAGAAATGTTCCAATGTTATCTGCATGCAGAGTTAACAAGTAAGCAGTATTTGTCAGCAAAACGGTCTCAAAGTCAAGAGCAGTACTAAAAGAGATGTATTCACAAGCCTACTTGTTTACAGTGCTGTGCATACCTTGTGCATAAATTTAATCTAGTAATGTAAATTGGAGGTTTTACACATTGAATACTTGAACATTTTACTTTCATGGTGGTGTTGAAATGCATTAATCAATGCTGATTCGTTCTAACCCTTAAACATAAAGATAATGTTGCAATTTCCCTTTAATAATGAAGCATTTCCAGACATTTAGTCATAGTGAACAAATTCACATTTAAGAAAATAAAATCCAATCAGTTCTTTCTGAAACAACTCCATACAAGTACTTATTCTGATGATCTCCATCAAAGGGTTATTCCAGTTTACTGAGCTATCTAATGAAATCTGTGATATAGTTCCCAAAAAAATCCAAATTGGGAAATTTTGCTTTGTAATCCATATGTGATACTGTCCAAATGCAATAACTCATTCTGTATTGAAATCCCACTGAGAAATATGTTGCCAAAGTTTCCTGAATATTTCTTCATATTTCTGGAATGCCTAGTGTCTTCTGATTCTTGGTCCAACCTGAGTAGTCATTTAAACATTAAACTTAATTATTTCCTTATACAGTATATACAAATTGATATAAAAACATTTAAAGAATTTTGCTTAATGTCTCTTGTAGGTGATTACTATAAGAGTAATGCACCTCCATTATACTGTAGTTACTTATAAAACATTTCCAAGACTGGTTAGAATAATTCACAATTATGCAGTTAATTATATAATTATATCAGCTAAGTAACTAAAGCCAGCATCACACTACACGACTTTTCCTACGATTTTCAATTGTAGCCTTCATTTACATAATCGTAAGAAAGTCACAGCGAGTTATAGAGAGTCAGTTGTGTAGTGTGACATCTTCCGCGACTCACTCACAGTGCTCCTACCAGCCCCTATGACTCTCTGGGACTCGCTACGAAAAAATCCATCTACAGGAACACCGGCAACTACCTGCTTGTTCTCCGTGTTGTTTGTTTGCTTTCGTGCAGTGTCTCTCTTCTCATTCCGGTGTGCTCCACGTTGATTGGCTGCCAAAATGAGGCGACCTCACAGTACTTTCGCGGCGCAATACGAGATTTGGAACCGTAATGAAAAGTCATGTAATTAGTCACCCCCTGTGATTCTTAGTCATATAATTTGACACCCTCTAGGACAGAAAAGGCAGCGAGATTCAGCAACTGCAGTCGTTAAATTTGACTCGTGTCGAGTCATGTAGTGTGACACCGGCATAAGAGCACAGAAGCAGCAAAATTCAGAAAAACACTGGCTCCTCCAGAAGCTTGAGCTTGACACCCCTGATACAAATCTTTACCAAACGAAAAGTACAGTTATATAATCACAACGTAATGATTTTGGTGGGCAGGGAATGATACTAGAAAAAACAAAAAGAATGCTACTAATGAGCTGTAAGGAACTTCTTTAATGAATTGATACTGGAGCTTTACAGGTTCTGTCTCAGAACACTGAAACAGACTTTTTGGCTGAACTCTTATGATGAACTCCATGCCAGACCTCAAGGGGAGCACAGAAAAAACTCTTGCAAAAAAGCTGACCAATTCTCTTAATGAGCCGGCAAAATATGCCAATCATTTGCTTCAAACACCAATTAATTAAAGAAATACAGTATTACCCAACCTAAACTCCCAAGAGAAGAGCATATTAATTAGCAAATAGTCAAGCCTACAACAGGACAGTTATAGCTTGCCAAACATATTGTTACAGCTTTAGGTGACTGAAGTGTCTCTTAGATTTTAGATAGTTTGTGACACTGGGAAGAGTAAACACTTCTAACTTCAAAGCCAAGAGGGTGTTTACTGAGGTCTGGGAAGGTCCCTTGAGCAGAAACAATTGTAATGTTTACCTTAGTACACCTAGGTAAGTTGTGGATTAATGACGGCCTGAGAGTGTGAATGAGGGGAACACAGAGGGCCTGGACAAGAGTTGTGAGACATTCTGTGTGCTGCAGGCTGCTGGCAAGGTGGTGTGTCACTGGACAGAATGCATCGAGAGCTGTTCTCATCCAATCAGGGTCCCAGGACAGTGCTGCCCTGACTGCTCCATGGGTAAGAACTCCACAATATACTAAGCACTTTACCAATTAGTAATAACTAATAAAGCACATTTAGAAGATAAAATTCTATATATTTAGGCAATATAGTGCTACTCATACCTGAAAATTTAGTGTATTTTGTGATGTGAATTGGAGGCTTTACAAGTTACCATGTACTTTGTACTTTGTGATTTCAAAAGCACTCATGAATGCCAAGTCTTTATAACCCCAAAATGTATATATAACATATATAGTACATAAACATATAACATATATAACAGTTCCTTAAACATTCATGTTCAGCCTGACACTTGATACCATTTAAACACAGGAAGTTGTGTTCTTATTATAATAATAAACATTTTTGTTGTGTGCTTCATTAGGTCACAGTTAATAGTTCAATTAAAGTATATGGATTTTTATGTATCAAGTAGTACTGTATACACCTTTTTTCCATGTTCTTACAGTTTCTCACTTAGTATGGTTTCTGATCCGCATCTAATAGACTGGAGCTATGACATGGGTTTATTATGCTGTACATCCAGTAATTCTGGTGCAGAGAAAATTAACTTTAATGTCATTTTCAGGATGCAGCTACAGAGGTTTGGTGTATGAGATCAACGAGAGCTTTCTTTCACAATCAAACCCCTGTCTCACCTGCATCTGTCTGGTTAGTCTCAGCATTTCCTGGACTGTATAGAATTCTATTTTAACAAAAATCAGAGCAAAAAAAATGATGATGCCATAGATATATTTTTTTAAATGTTGGATGTCAAAAACAGCACAGTGGTGCTGTGATTAGCATTGCTGTCTCTTGGCACTGGGGCCAAATGTTCAATTCCTGACCTAGGGTGCTATCTAGGGGTGTTGCGGTGGCTCTGTGGCTAAGGATCTGCGTCTGTGGCTGGAAGGTTGCCGGTTTGTATCCCGCGGCGAAGGAAACCTGCTCCATTGGGCCCCTGAGCAAGGCCCAACTGCTCCAGGGGTGCTGTATAAATGGCTGACCCTGCGCGTTGACCTCAAGCTCCTTTCCCTGTCTGTGTGTCTCATGGAGAGCAAGTTGGGGTATCTGAAAAGACAAATTCCTAATAAGAGAAATTGTATATGGCCAATAAAGTGATCTTATCTTATGAGTGTGGGGTTTCTATGCTCTCCCAGTGTTCACGTGGGTTCCTCCAGGTACTCCAGCGGCGTCCTCTCACAGTCTAAAGACGTACTGTTTGGTTAATTTGCTTCTGGTAAAGTTGGCTCTTGTGTGAGTGTGTGTGTGTGTCTGTGACTAGCATTCTGAACAGGGTATACCCAGACTTGTGCCTGTTGCTTGCCATGATAGGCTCTAGCTTCCCCACAACCCTGAACTGAATGAGGTGGTTAGAAAAAGGATGGAATGAGCATTCCAAAAATCTTAGTATGAAGAAATTGCTTTCCTGTTTCCAGACAATCAATTATTTGAATTATTAAAATGATAAATTATGTAAGTCATACACTTCTTGTCATGAAAAGTTTAATTTTCTCTGAACTCTTATCAATCAAATTGACATTGTGTTTTAATTTAGCCCTTTACACTAAGGCTTTCTATAAAAAAGGTTACACTCGGTTATGTATTTTTTTAATGTCTGTTGTTGTACACTACTTTTACTAAGAGTCTCCCCTCTTGAATGAGATCTTTATTTTTTTAATGATGAAACTATGAACTGGGCTATTAATTCTGTATCTCCCTGGTCTCAGGCTGGTTCTGTTGCCTGCTCTCCAGTGCACTGCCAGCCCAATTGTACCTACCCATTCCACCAGGAGGGTCAATGCTGCCCTTTGTGCCAGGGTAAGTCACAGTCCAGGTCAAGGGTACATTCATGGAAGTCAGGGAATCAAGTCTGTCTGTACTCTGACACACTTTATCACCTCTTGCCTGTTCCAGACTGTAACTATGAGGGACGGAAGGTGGGGAATGGGCAGACATTTTCCTTGGAAAACCAGCCCTGCGTCCACTGCATCTGTCAGGTGAGACATTTGATTTGTGTGTTTCCTAGTTTGATATAAAACTGAGGGTGTGTTATTTCTCCCTCAGTTTGGAGAAGTGACCTGTGAAGAGGTGAGCTGTACTGTTACCTGCTCTCACCCCTATCCCCTGCTGGGAGAGTGCTGTCCTACTTGCACAGGTAAGAAAATATCATATAATCACCAGAGCACATGAGAACCTTACTCATAGGGCTCCAACATTGCACAGATACACAACATGCATCAAATTAAATATTCAATACTTTATGTTAAGTTAGTTATAGTTAATAATATGATACATAGTTCTGATTAAGCATTTGTGAACCATTTTGTCCATATTCTTGTGTATTTTGAATCTTCATGAAAGTCTTAATAACAGACGGAGGTAACCTCACTAATCAAATAACATGAAGACAAAATGAACAAAACGATCCAACAGAAACTCTCATGTGAATAAGTGTGTGAACCCTTTTATTCAATAACTGGTGGCACCTCCTTGAGCAGCAGTGACGACAACTAGCAGTTTCCTGTACTTCCTCACTTGCCCATTTTGTTTTCACATTTGGCGTCTGCACTTACCAGAGACAGAGCTGACCGTGTTATTCTCTGTGGTGCCTCTTTTTCTTTCACCTGCTTGAGGAAATCCAAGCTCCAGTGCTTCTGACACAGTAAGTCATGGAACTCTGATTTGAAACTGAAGGTGTTACTTTCGTGTCACAGACTCACTGGTCTGATCACACCGACTTCCATCTCTTCCTATCCATCTCCTGCAGTCTGATCCCAACCTTTTGAGAACAGAATTTGCCTTCAGTCCTGCATTTCTTCAAAAAGTGCATCCCTTTCCAAGCAAACCTCTGACTTAGAGGCTTGCAGTCATAATCCCGCAGGTAGTGGCTTTGCACCTCTGGCTCCTCATGCTGATCACCGGGAAACAAGCCACTTGCCCTGTCCACCCAAGTCGTTAAGGTCACTCTCCACCTCACCCTCTATGCCCATCCTTTCTTTCTCGTGTCCTTCCCATTGTTCACTGAGAATGAGATGAGTAAAGGAGTATAAAAGACAATAGTAGTTCAGGTGGGTAGCTGCAAAGGAACAAGTAATAGGTTTATTCCATGCTGAAAAGAGAGGAAAAAAAACAATGTTGTGTTTTATTTCTTCTCTTTTCAGCATGGAATATTTTTTACTTGTTATTACTTGTTCCTTAAAAGACAATATTCAGTGTTACAGTATTCTGGATTTGCTCTCACCTGATACAAACCTTACTGTTCAACAAGGTGTGGCTGCTTTCCTTTCTAAGAAGAAATTAGGAAAACAAAATCCTGATATTAGGTACTTTACACATCCCCAGAGCCCTCTGAAGGAGTGTGGAGTCCACTTTCATTTTGCCAACTGAAAGAAGAACTTCTTCAGACTCTTTTCTCCATGTTTCAGGGAAAACAGCAGACTCGCCAGAGTCACCATGATATCTTCCATTCTATTCCGGTTCCACCTTATATCATGCCTTCAGTGCATCCATGACCCTGGGACACCAGCTCCTTGTCCTCTCCTCTGCTTTTTCCTCACAGTCTGCAGTCCCCACTTGGTCTCTGTTCTGTTTTCCTAATTTCTTCTCTTTCAGCCCCCATTACATCATTGGATTTGCAAACCACTGCGCCTTTAGCCCCAGAAATATATGTTGTTTTTGTATCTTTCCTTTCCAAAATCCTCTCTCTCGCCTTTCCCCATTGGACCCCTACAAACAACTTCAGACTGCATCAAGTCTAGCCTATTAGCTCACAGCCCATAGCTCACACCATCTTCCTTAGTGTTCTAGATGACTTTCTACAGAGGTTCATACAGTAGATGGAATAATCACACTCTACGTTGTTACCCTCAGCTTGGGCTGCTGCCCACATGTTGAATCATTGTGCAGTTCTCTCCTGCTCCACAAAAGCCTGTCTGACTGCTGATGCATGCTTTCTCAACACCCCCGCCCACCTGCCCTCATTTTCCATTACGAGCTTTCTCAGTAGCCCTCTACAGACAGTAAAGCCACCAGCACATTTACTGGTTAAACATCCCTCATCATTTATGTCTTTCCACTTCATAACTTCCCTGCTCCCAGCACTAATAAATCTCTAGTTCTGCCTTTACTCAGTATGACACAATTATTGACCATGCTATACCTGATCCAAGCCGTAGGATGAAATACTTAGTGACACTGTGACAACCGTGACCACAAATGCATTTCTAAAACCTTAAGCACCTTTTAGAATGCTCCATAAAGATAATTATTAGATAAGTCTAATTTCACAGCCCATCTCTCTTTCAACTGCCACACCAGTCCAAAGGTTTACTACACACGGGGAAGCCTAAGATGTTATATTTTGTATCTCCTTGCTACAAGCCAGGCTTGGCTGCATTACGATTCTCATCTCTTCCCTTTGCTTTTACATTACATGAGTTCTTAAACTTTCTCATTCACATAAACTACAGTATGCATATCATCCATTCCTCTGGGTGCACTGTCTCTTATCTTCTCCACCTAATTTCCCATGTAACATCCCTGCATTAGCATGTCAAACTGGATGCCAACTCAGATAGAATGAAGGCTGTAGCTCCTGCCCCTGGAGCAATGGAATTTTTTGGGTGATTTTTTATGGCGATTAATCTATGTCTCCTGATCTTTAACTTCTCATCTGTACTGTGCTGTTCATAGACTTTCTTTACAGAGGAATCTGTCTTGTGGCCCTGTGGCCTCATGAAGCTGAGAATCTTGGATTTCTCTGTTGAGCTTTGTGAAAAGAACCCTATTGCTGAAGGTGCTCGTCTTTGGGCTTCCTTTTCCTTTTCATCCACTCAGTAATATTTCTTTTTCTGTATGGTGTGCCGCTTAACTGTCTAGGAAACAGTTCTATACACAATGAGTTGTTGGTATCTGAAACAGACTCAGTCAGGTGAGATGTACTGTACTTAGCTATTAAAACTTCCAAAAATGCAAGATGGGCTGAATGTCCTTTTCTTAAGTTCTCCTCTTTATATTCTTATGACACACAAATAAGACCAGTTAGCTGCTCTATTAACTGCTGAGGAAAAGGAGCAGTATGACAGAACTCCCTTTGCCAAGTGGTCTCAATGGAACCTAGTGGATAATTAAAGCCAGATTGAGAAGTACAGTTACAAATGTGCATGTTTATTTACTGTAAGCTCACAAACAGTGCACATGTAAACAGTGTAGGAAAGCAAATTCAAGCATCACAGGCAAGATGAACTCTGTAACATCAATTTCCTAACAAGGTCGGTGTTTAGAATATTAAGTCTGGAATGGCCAGTCTCAGATATGGGTCAAAGTAAAAGTGTCTGTTCTGACCTCTGCAAAAAAAATCTGAACTTCTTTTTGCCCAGAGTCTATCTTTTATCTGAGACACTCCATCCCATTTCACGGGCAACGTTATTACCTTCTAAAATCAAACATAAGCTGTACAAAGTTCACATTACAATCCATAAACATTTTTCAAGAACCTTATTATAATTTTGTGAGAGGGCGTAAGGCATTATAGGGGAAATGAACATGACGCTGGTGTGAAAGATGGATAAGTCCAGCAGCTTCCCTCCAAGCCACAAGATGGCACAGTGGTACAAGACTTCACTGAAAGAAGGCAAGTGACCAGACAGTATTGTGCTTCTAATCTAGCTGCAGTTTCGTTCTTCTCTAGCTTTTTCAGGTCACATAGAGGATAGAAGTAAAAACTCAATAATATGAACAAAAATAGCATGTCCAGTTATTCACAAGCTGTTCCCTTTTCTTTCTATTGTCTGAATGCTGCTGTTATTTTTTGTTCAAATTATGTTCATTGGAAAAGGTAAGTGCATTTATTAACATATATAAGGGATTAAAAAAACTATTAACAATTATCCTGACTGCACATACTCTACATTCTCTAAAGTTTTATACTTTTGAGATTTTTATCCATGTAATGAAGATATTTACAATTATTAATCACACTAAGCACAACTTCAGAGGCATTAAAAATATTTCCATGGGTTATCTTCAAATGGACACAATTCATGTAAGTTATGTAACAATTCATACGGAATTGCTGAATACCTAAAACATATTTAGACAAATAGGGATACAATAATACAATAATCATGTAAACAATAATACGTATACAATAATCACTCTTACCATTTCAGTATTCTTACCATTAGTTGAAGCATTTAATTATTTAAATTTGTTGTAACGTCCCAGTGGCTGGGATATCTGACCCATTGTTACAAATGTAAGCACTTAAACCACCAATAATTTACAACAATCAAATCGTTCTTTGCTCCTTTACACTGTAAAGGGTTTTGCTCTCAAAATAAAATGTGAATCGAGACATTGCTCTTATTTTAACTCTACAGTTGTATTTTTTCTTTATGAAAGCTGAGCGGAGCTCCCTCTTGTTCTCAGTTTCTTTGCTAGCTCCCAGTGGCAGACCTGGACTTTCTCATAGTCCTTTGAGCCAGTCTTTACTTCATAAAGGCTCTGTAGAGTGATCGCTTAATTTTTCACGCTTTATATGACAGGACTGACCTTTCATCCTAATCTAGTAGACAGCAGAGGACTATAAGTTTCAATGAGTTGCTGGCTCATTTGACAAAACAGTGAAGAAGCAAGATCAATCTCTGTCTTCACTACCCTCCCTCACATGGTGGTTTTTCATAGGTATAAATTATCATATTTTTTGTTATCGTACTTTTTTTAAATCAGCAGTGTTTAGCTTGGTACTGTCATGAGTGTAGCTTTTTTTAAGATTCGTTGCCCTTTTATACTCAAAACAGTAATTGGTGAAAAAGAATGTATTGAAATGTTTTAAAAGCGCTTAGGACTTACTGTATTAGCAAACTGCTACATATTTATTCCAATACAACACAGTGTTTTATTCCATAAAGCAGAAGCAGTTAAAATACTTCTTATGTTTTTGTTATCTGCATCAGTTATTCCTCGAACAGAGATCAACTTCTATCCTTGATGAATAATTCTGAATATCAGGTATGCTTGGAATAATTTATAAGGTTTTTCTTTCTTTCTAACTGTCCATGATATTTTCAGTGTGTCTGTACGAGGGTCAGGTCCTGGAGGATGGAGGCTATTACATCTCTGAGACAGAGCCTTGCACTGTGTGCCTCTGTGCTGTAGGTACTACATAATCTGTCTCTGTACTGCAGATATTAAGTGTGTATTTATTACCATATGAGTTAAACAGCTGTAAATTTCAGTGACAGTCCATAAATAGACTTCCATAGTCAGATATATAGTTTTAAGTATTAAATTATTCATCAGAATAAAGATCTAGAAGCTTTTACCAAAGCTGAAGACATAATACACAAAGGTGCTTACAGAGTGGCTGTGGCATGAATAAACAGGAAATTGTAAAGTTTAAAAAAAGGGTCAAATTGACAGCACAAAGATGTAAAGGATAAAATTCAAAGTTAGAAGGAATGCAGGAAGTTTCATTTTGTGTTTATTTAAAAATAAATGTAAGCTAAAAGATCAAAATCACCTCAAATATCACATTTAGAGCAGGGGCGTCATTTTGCAAATGGTTTTGGGAGGTCAAGAAAGCATTTAGATTCTCCCTCTTAGAAATGTAATTCCACCAAAACTGCACTGAAATGGCAATGAATAAACCTAGCAATGTAAAAGATGTCATCTTGCATTTATTGTTACAAAATTGCCATCTAAAACATCAAATTCAAGATTTATTTTTCAAAAGCTTTTACAGATGGCATTAGAAGCAGATTTTTCAGGCAAGGATTTATTAAGACCTTAATTGTTAAATTTTGTGTTGATTTCAAATGACTCATTCCAGCCTATACAAAGACACTATAGTCTATTTTCTTATGAGGTTTAAAATCTAGACAATAAATTACTGTGCTACTTTTTAAATTGAATAAATGTTTATCTGCACGATAACCACAGATAATGTTTTGTGAGATGAACTGATAAGACTTTAGCCTCAGATTGGTGTTGCATAGTTCCATATCTGAAAGTTTTGCCTCCTCAGGAACAATCCGAATCAACAGTTTTGCAGGTACGCAGTCAGCATGACACTTTTAACAAGAACTGTAGCAGGATGTTAGAAAAAAAAGTGTTCTAGATGTGAAAGCTTATCTGTGTATCACAAGTCCTTTCTTTTATCTTGCGTACAGTGCACATGAGTGATAATGAGTCTCATACAATATGCTGATTGCCTGGAGCAAACCAGGTTGTAAATGTCCTGGCTGGACTGCATCCAGTTATCATGGTTCATGTAGAAACAAATGACATAGGATAGGACAGGCTGATGATTCTGCAAGACAAAATTAAGGATTCAGCTTGTTAACTAAGGACATAAGTCTACAGTGGTCTTCTCTACAGATGTAGCACACAGACAGGGAGCCAATAAGAATATTAACATTTTGCATTTGGCTTAAGGATTGGTGCAGAGAAGAGAAGGATTAGATCCATGAGGCATTGGGGATCCCTCTGTAACAAATGAGACCTGTACTGTAGTGTGCTACGTCGCCCCAGAAATAGAGGGGTTCCAAATATGAGGAAGCAAATGCATCAAGAATTTAAGGAGTATTTGAATTGGGGAGCAAGAAGTTCACAACAGGCTAATTGTGTTGGGATCATAAAAGCAATGTGTAACATTAAGAAAATACTAATAGCACATACATTCTTTAATGCTTGCACCTCAATGCTAGAAAAACAATTGATCAAATGTAAGCTATCAAGGCAATTATATTATGAGGAAACTTTAATGTTATAGACATTGCTGAAACATGGCCAGGAGTGCTTGATATGGATAAACGGTAGGTGGTATAGGACTCCATCCATCTGTCTTCAAGCACCCTGTGCTTAGTTCTGTACAGGGTCATGGTTATCTGGAGCCGAACTCAGCAGAAAACATGTGCAAGTGAGGAGATTGTCTGGATGACTCACAGGCAAGAATTTAGGGACGCCAATTGACCTCAACCGTATGTGAGAGAAATTGGCAAAAATGTCTACATCTAAAATAAGATTTTATCATGTTTGTAAAGCAGGTTTTATCATTTTCATAAAGCACATGAAGGAAAGTGGTAAGATTGGAATAGGAGGGAATATAGGCTGAAAACAAATTCATCCTTAAAACAATTATGTTCAAGTACGCCTACATGGTGTCATCTTTTAAAAAATTGGAAAATATATTTCATATGAGAGGTCTTAAGACTGAAAGATAGAAAAAAGTATAGTGAGCTACTGAGGTTATACTACAACGAGTCGCAAAAGAAAAAGTACTGCAAATAAGACAAAAATCATACATAAATAATAATACCAGCTTGTGCTGTTGTAGTACCTAAAATGTACTAATGATATCTGATCTTTACTATATAATAAGTATGCTGAATGTATATTTCACAGATGTCTTTACAAGTTAGTGATCTTTACTAACTAGAATTGTTTGACCAAGCAACTAAGTCAGTAAATAAAAGGTCCATGGTGGATTTTGAGAAAACTTTTGATATGGTCCCTAATAAAGGTTTTCAAAGTAGAAGCGACAGAAATCTGAGATAATGTATGCAAATTGATTGCAAACTGCTCAGTGAACAGGAAATAGTTTATCATCTTAAGCGGCTTAACCTCTTTTGGTTGGGTAGTGTGATACCACTGGGGTGTGTGGTCATCAAACCAGTCGTGTTAAAGGTGAGTATTAAGACAAACCTCACCACAAATGAGGAATATATTTAAACAGGATAACTTTATCTTTCAAGTCCATGTGGCTTTGCTTTTCCTTTCTCAGTCAACACAGTTCAGCAATCATGGTTTGGCAGCTTCCACTGCAGTTCACAGTGTTTCCAGTTCAGAGGAGGATATCTCTCAATTTGTATTGTGTGGAACTAGGAATACTCCTGTGTCCTGTTCCAGGTATTACATAACGGTACCGTTTTGTATGCGGTTTCTTTTCATGGCCATCTTGGTACTGTCAGAAGCATAAAAGAATCCATGACGTGCATAGGAAAATACCACCCATTGAGTATACTACCCCTAGCAGCATTACGATAGATATGAGAGATGGTATGCTGCAGGGATCTGTAGGCTCATTGCCTTTTCTTAACAGTTTAGTTTCAGTACTTAGATTATAATAAGATAACACACTACAAATGAGAGGAGGCCACTCAACCCATCTAGTTTTGGGAGCATCTTGCTATTTGACCTAAATATCTCAGCCAGCAATTTCTTGAAGGAACCCAGGTTATTGGCTTCAACAACATGGCTCAATTGCTTGTTTCAGACTCCCTCACAACTTTGTGTATAATTGTGCCTCCTCTTCTCTTTTTTAAGTGCATGTAGTTTCCACTTCTTCTGGTTTCACTGCTGATTCTAAATAAGTCCATTGTGTTTACTTTTTTATTCCTTTGATGATTTTGAATATTTACAGTAAATAGGATGCTCTCATATTTTTCTCTGTAAACTGAGAAAGTGACAGTTTATTGCTCCTACATGTTTTCTAAACATGAATGTAATGTACTGACAATTAGCTATTGTTTTCATATGCAACTTCTTCAAACTCAGAGTCGTGTGTGTGTTACTATCTAGGAGTATGCACTTGTCTACAATAAACTTGATTGACCAAGTTTGCCTACTAATCAATTATGTTTAAATACACAAGCACTCAGGGACAATTTAGATACACAAATTCACCTATCCAGTATGTCTTTCAAAAAGGTAATGGCACCTAAGGTAATTTATGTTCTTCAGCATTATTGTGCGAGTAGACACTGCTACTGTATATCACGTTTCTGTTGAGAAGCTCAACAGTTCACAAGCTAGCTGAGTCAATATTCGGTAAAATAAGAAATGTTTTAAGCAAACTCATCAAACAAGAAAATAAGAATTAAGGACTCTTGGATAATTTGCTTTTTTGGGGTTAACAAGCAAGTTTAATAGAAAGGGGATTGACTTGGCAGTATAGTTTACATTGTAATATCTAATAGACTATACAGACCCCATTATCCACAGGTAGAGTACAACACATATAATAAATGCACATAAACATCATGAAAATTAAGTTAAATTGAATTATAAATAAAAGTAATAAGTTATTTTAACTAAATAGTTAAGTATTAACTATTATCTGTAAGACCTGATACTCTGATAGAACAGAGAAACCGTGGAAATAAGTTGTACATGGAATGAGGATCATACAGTATGTGGTTGTCCACATGCCTATTTATGAGACAGGGCTCCTCTGTTGTTTTGCAGTCATGGTTGCTCCCACACAGAATCTCCTGAGAAGGTGCACAGCTGTGCAGCCACCAAAGCCCATGACTGCATGAAGTGGTAATGTGTTTTTTTCAGATACGGTCAAGCAGGTGAATGTGGAAAGGTTTTCAACAGAATGTGGGCAGATTCTTTATAGACGTAGTAATAAAGTGTGTTTATCAATGTAACCTTTTAAGACAGAATCATTTTAAAATAGTGGCTCTGCATCTAGAGGCATAGAAAACAAAGGGTTTCATTCTTTATCATTACATTAACATGCCAGTTTGCACTTTCCATGTTCCCAAAGCAATTGTACAAGTGTCTCTTAAATTCCCAAATCCTTTCACTTGGGAGCCCCACTGGCAAGCTTGTGCCTCTCACAGTACCCTGCCAAATGACGCCCCTGGTTTAAAGTCTAAATTACAAGCTAATGTCATCAGAATTCACATAATGTTAAGAATATAACATTATTGCAAAATAATTCGCTTCTTCTAATGATGTCTCATTTTGCTGAATTACAAATATATACACATTAAAGTAAATCGTTTTCATCAAAACAAACTTTCATGGGTGAAATAAGATAAACAGCAAAGAAAAAAACTGCAAAAAATCTCAAATATATTAATTGTATAAATATTCACCAACACTGCAATTCTTACCCAACTTAATCAGGTTTTGTAAGATCTCTGGGGATTGGTGATGCAATGATTTTCTGTTGATGCCTGCACTTTGTTTGGGCCACTCAAAGATATGCTTCTTGTTAAGCCACTCCAATGTACATAGTTTTAGCCTTGTGTTGAAAGGTGAATTGCCAATCCAGTGTTAAGCCTGTTGAAGACAGGTTTTCCCTGTTATAAAGTACTTGTACTTTGTTCCATCTATTTCCCCCTCAATCTTAACAAGCTTCCCAAACCCAGCTGATGAGAACACTCCATAACAATACTGGCACCACCATGCTTGACAGGTGGGATGGTGTTCACTTGGTAAAGCACTGTGTTGGGATTGTACCAGATATATCCTTTACATTTAGACCAGGGACTTCTAAAGTTCTCATGTCACTACAAAACCTTTTGCCACATATTTGCAGTATCACATAAATGCTCTGTTGAAAACTCCATTCAGGATTTAAGAAAGGTGTAACTCTGCAATACAAGCCAGCTTTGTGAAATGACTCAACAGTTTCTCATCTCAGCCATTGAATTCTGTCGCTCATTCCAGACTGACTAGCTGTTCAGTTCGGATGGACAGGTAATGGTAATGATAATCTAGGTAATGTCATAGTGGTATGATACAACTTCCACTCTTTAATCATTGATTTCACAATGTTCAATGGGATAATCAGTGTTTCTGAATTTTTTTTAAACTCATTTCTTGACCTGTGCCTTTCTGTGCAACTTTATTTCAGAGTTGTTTTTAAAGTTAATTGGTTAAAAACCATAATGGTCAAATCTTTGCTTGAAATAGAAACCTTACATGGATAGGTGTATTTATTCTGAATTCAGGTGAATCACTATTGTGGAATACTGACAGAGGCCGTTCAAGAAAATGTGACTTGTCAAAATAATTTTGTGCACTTGAACTAATTTAGGTTTGCTATAGCATGGGGGTGAAATGCTTGTTTGGAAAATTGAATGCTTGTGTAAACAATATATTTTAGTTTTTTTTTTATTTAGCTTTGCAGTTAGCAATGACATATCCCTTATCTTGCCCATTAAAGTATTCACTTTGATCATTCACATTTTGATGAAAAATGCTCGCTTTAAAAACTGTCTATACGTTTTCTACTTCAACAAAATAAGACATGATTGGAAATGAATAAATACTATTTTAATGACTATATCCATCTATATCCAACATCAGATCAATACAGTTGGATGCGTATATCTTGCTGTCTCGATGACTTTGTTGAAGCCAGTGGTGTCTGACAATGCTGACCCTTCCCCATCCCAGGCAGGGAGTGTGAGCTGTGAGTGGAGAGGAGGTTCCTGCCCAGACCTGCCCTGTGCTGGGCCGCTGCTGCACATCCCAGGACAGTGTTGCCCCATTTGCCCAGGACAGCTCTTTGCAGGTCTGTTAGTATAAATTCATTTAAATTACATTATTATAATTAGAAAAGCGTTCATATATGTTTCCCTGACTGATTCTGTTGTCCCGTGTGCATCATGAATTCCATTTCCCTTTAATTTGTACCATCAATTTAATCTGTTAATCAATTAAAATGTGCACCCCAATTTATGGGAGGAGCGGTGGCTCTGTGGCTAAGGATCTGTGCCTCTGGCTAGAAGGTTACTGGTTCTAATCCTGCAGCTGGCAGAAGAATCCTACTCTGTTGGGCTCCTGAGCAAGGCCCTTAACCCCACCTGTTCCAGGGGTGCCGTACAATGGCTGCCCCTGTGCTCTGACCCCAGGCTCTCTCCCTGTCTGTGTGTTTCATGGAGAGCAAGCTGGGGTATGCGAAAAGATAATTCCTAATGCAAGAAATTGTAAAGGGTTAATAAAGTGATGTTATAGACCAGTGCTAACAGACAAAATTTAAAGAAACATTGCCACCTAACCAGCCTTTGTGAATGTTGACATTTTCACAGCAATTATGGGTTTTATAAATATATTTATTGAAAATACATTCATTTTCTTTAGAGCCTTCATACATAAAATTATCCAATATCCATCTGGATAGCTCAGAAAACACCAAAGCAAAGGTGTTGAGAACTGCAAATATCGACCCCTATGATAATTGTTTCTATTTCCTAATACACTTAAATAGTCACTTCAATGGCTATAACAATACTATTTAAAATATAAGTAATAGAACTGTTCCCTGATGAAAAAAAGAAGAAAGAAAACACAACGTTTCGGCCGTGGAGCTTTCTTCGGGTGTGTCCTTTTTTTCAGCATGGAATAAACCTATTACTTTTTCCTTTTCAGCCTACGTATGCTGATGCAGCTACCCACCTGAGCTATTTAAAATACATCAATGACTACATTTGTATTGAAAACAATTGCATATATTTTCACTTTTTTATGTTGTTTACAGTAGATAATTTGAATAGCCCTACAGTACTTGCCAAATTGTATCGAGAATATTTTATCAGACCCTGCAGATGCTACTCATTAATAACAATTTTTAGGACTCTAATACAGATTTTGTACCGAGATTGTACTGTATTGGGTTGCATATCCACAAACCACATATGTGAACTTTACCCATGAAATATGTGAGTGACATTTAAATGCATGCAGTATGTTACTTTTCTGAACTGTGTGTTTTCCATTTTCAGAAAACAAATACTCTACAGACATGACTCAGGACTTTGTGTTCCCAACGTCCTCAACTCAGCCTAAGATTTCAACCTCCCACAAACTGCTCTGTCTCCCTGGAATCAGTGGAACACCTGTAGATGACACACTGACTGGCCACACTGACCTTGGCTCCACAGCAACACCAACAGGGTATTCCACTGTTCAGCTGGTTTTCCATACAGTCTCAAATTCTCACCCTGTTCACAATGCCTCACCTTCATCTACAGTATGTTTTACAATTCAGTCTTTACCTCCTACACTGGATAGCCCTTCTCTGCAGGCCACCCCCCTACTACCATCATCAACCACTAGTGTGGAAACAGGACCTGCCGTCAGACAGACAGTACAGAAGTCAGCAAGCAGTGAGGGAGCAGCGATAAAGGGCAAAGCTCTTCAAGAGCAGATACTAGGTAAGTTAATATTATTTTTTGTGCTTCTTAATGTAAACACCTTTTGTGAAACAAAAAATTGTGTACTGTATATCTGGTTGCTCTTCTCTGGACTGATTTCAGAGCAGCAATATCTTTTTTGACTAAATTTGTACACATTAGAATCTGAATGAAGCCTTTTCCACAACACCCCATGATTTGAATTCTACACTTTTTGACTATATAACCTAAATTGTGTTTGCCTTTTGTATCACTTTTCCACATTGTCCTGAAGATATAACAAATGTCCCAAAAAAAACCATCAAGTTATATATTTTTACTACCTGTCTGCAAAACCCTACACTTGTCTACATTAAATGCCAGGAGTTTGGTATTTTTGAGAAACGTGAAAAGGGGCATTTGTCAAAAAATGCTGGTCTAAGGCTATCGTCCCTTAGTTACAAAAAAAGTATGATAGAAAAGTATTTTAAAAATTGCAGACCAGTCTGCTTGTTGAATATTAATATGGTGTTTAGCTTTAAAGTTTTGGCTTTAAGAACAAAATTGGTTTTGGGGGAATAGTCAACCCAGGTCAAACTTTAGTGCCAAAAAGGAGGATAATGGACATTTATCTTTACTAGTGAGGCTGTATTCGGTGATCATACCTGCCTGGTGGTAGCAAGAGATAGATAGGTCTTAAATTAAGTAGAAAAACTATGAAAGGTAAATAAAATAACCTTTGTTACAAATATGGATGGATCATGAATACATGGATCTGCTTTTCCATGTAAGATGAAAGCAAAAACATATGTTTCTATAACATCTTGGAGCAGTAGTTAAACAATTCAGACTACTTACCTGCTTTGTAAGAAAACTCCTGCTCCTGACAAGGCAAAAGAAATATCCTCATAAAGCAAGCAGAAAAATTCCAGGAATCATTTCAATTTAATTTTTAACCACAACTGAGAAAAAATCACACATCTAAACTGGTTTAAACATTATCAAAACATACTCTTCTATCATGCTGTTATTTCCTGTCAGTGCTACTCTAAGTGTACTGCATGTCTGCTGAAGTGGAATAAGCAGGCACATCATAAGAGAGGCCATCCTGGTATGAGAAACTACAGGAAAGTGTACTGTATGTCGAACACTGAGAGCAGGAGGCACTTCTTTGCATAAAGAGTTCTGAGAGCCTTTAAAAAGACAGCAGGTAGCAGAGATTCTTTCTAGAAATTAGTGGATAAGAGCCTTGCATAAATTATCTGCTAAATATCAAGTGAGCCAGATGGGCTAAGTAGCCTCCTCTAGTTTGTAATCTTCTTGCTCTTGTAAATTCTACTGTTTTCCTTTTCTCCTGCAGATTAAACATTGCTGCTTCAAAACCATGGAAGAAGAGCCTGCTGCATCCCTTCAATACATTCTGTGGTCTAATAATGAGAGAAAGCTGTCAGTGAGAGTATTCACCACAAAAAATGGACATTTATCATTTTAAATAAGAATATTCTTTTAACAACTATAGTTTTAAAGAAATTGAAGAAAGTGAAAAGGGAAAGCTGTAGAGATTTCCCAATGTGAAATGTTATGTGTTTTTTAAGTTAAAAAACAATTGCTTTTCCTTTACCTGTCACTTCCACTGCCTACTGGCCACTAACCTATTCATCTTTCTCATGATTGTGAGAAAGTTCAGTGTAGAAGCCTGTTAGATTTAGAGCTCAAACAAAATATTTAACTATTTTTAGTGAAAGGGTATTTATCTATTACCAAAAAAAAGATATCAATGTAACTATGAAATTCAGTTCAGGTGGGTAGCTGCGTCAGCATGCGTAGGCTGCAAAGGAACAAGTAATAGGTTTATTCCATGCTGAAAAAAAGAAGAAAGAGAACACAACGTTTCGGCCGTGGAGCCTTCTTCAGGTGTCTTTTTAATCTTTACATTTCATTGACTAAGGAATTAGTTTAAATGTTTAAAAAGCTACAAGTGAATTGATTTTTAAACTGAATATTGTAAAAATAGGGAGTGTGTATAAAACCAAATAAACAGCAATGTTAACACACAAATTAAAAAGGAAACACTTTTATATAACATTATAGTTGTTTCCCTGTCAGCTTTTAGAATTTTAGGTTGTTTCCTAGAGAGAGAACCTTTACCTTGAAATACAAATGAAATCATTAATACAAAGTCAGTTATCTGTTTTGTGTAAGCAGTTGTCAGCATGCTGAGGTTTTATTATAGGTTGTATTTCAACCTCCAAAATTTCAGATCAGATTTCCAACTGAAGTATCACACCTTGTTATGTTATGTGTTGATTTTGGGCAGAGAGGTGGTGAAGTGGTAACCATTGCTGCCTTGCTGAGGCCCTTGGTTCAGTTCTGTACCTGTGGTACTATGTGTGTGAGGTTTGTATGTTTTCCCTCTGTTTGTGTGGGTTTCCTCCAGGTTCCTCCCACAGTCCAAAGACATACTGGTAGGTTTACTGGCTTCCGGCAGGGAAAACTGGTCCTAGTGTGAGTGTGTGTATGCCTGAGAGAGCCCTGTGATGGATTGGTGTCCCATCCAGTGTGTATCATGCCTTGCATACCTTGTATTAGATAAAGCAGTTAGAAAATGTATGGATGTGTTGATTATCATTTGGTTAATTTGACTATTTTCTGGGTTTATATGTTAAAAGATTATTGCATTTTTCAAATAATTCATATAAACAAAGACAATGTATTTACTTATTTAGTACTTTATACAGACCAATAACTATTTTTATATTTTAAATTAAGAAAATTATTTTACATAAAATAATGGAACTATGCATAATTGTTAGATGTCACTGGGTTGTTTTGTGTCAAAGTAAAATAAATACTTATATGTTAAGTATTTAAAAAGACTTAAAGACTTCTTTTGTTGCTGTTTGCTATACAGGACAAAAATGAACACAGCTGCCAAATAAAATGACTTGGGGTTTGCAAAAGGCTTATTATTCATATTTGTGCTCAGAACAGTCCTCAGTGATGTAATAGGAGTGTCAGTATGCAGTGCACGCTGAACCACACGTGGACAAGGAATACCTAGAAATGCCTGAAGATATATTTTGCACTAATTTTCAACCAACAAATTCCAAATATAATATAACAAATATATAGTACTAGCTAGAACAGTACTATATATGGATCCATCTAGAAAGTGTGAGGTGTCAGTAGTTATAATTCAGTATATTGGCTGCAGCATAACATTGCTTTTTTATATGTTTTAATAATATGATCCAGGGCTGCACTGTCCTGTAAAACTGCCAAGTGCCTCAGTGGATCCTTAAAGTAATTCAGCTGCACATGGTTGAAAGACAAATCGTCACAGTATTAAATGTTTATTAACCTTTAATGCTTGCTGTGCTAATTATACTGTATGCCTGCTAATGGCTATTTAATTAAATACATAGATAACATTGTTGAAACAGGAAGTTGTTACAACGTTGCTACCACAACTCCAAATGAGATATGTCACAATACTGTGTAACACGAATATTAAAAATATTTTTAATTACAGAATATAGGATTATTAATTTTGTGTAACATTATACACTATATTATATAATTGTGAACATTATAGTAATTGAATATATATATATGATTTAATTTTAAAATAGATCATTTTATTTAAATTTTGATTATAAACATTATAAAGTGGCCTTAAAAACATATCATATTCAAAGGAACATAAATATGTAGCAGGCAAAAGAGGCCAGAATAAAATAAAAGTTTTGAGTATTGATCTGAATGACTTTGCCACATACTGTATGTTTGTTGCCAATTATTAATAATAACAGCATATTATTTAAAAATGTGTTTGGGTCCCTAAAAAAGAATTCATGCATATACAGTACAGTACTTCTTAAGTCCCTTGACTTATTTTTATAGCTTGTTTTTAGCTAAAGAGGAACTTAGATTAAATGTCTATTAAATATGACTTCACAAAAAAAACTAGTTTTTTCACAAAAGTCACTTCTAAGTTAGTGTTAATGAATCGTAACCATCAAATTACAACTGAAAGACTTGAGGACATTTCTCCTGAGGCTTTGTCTGCAGTGTTTTTGTCAATTTAAAAAAGCTTTACAGCTGGGTCTCCATCACTCAATGCCCAGAAAAAAAGACAGTCAGTTGGAATATTCCTTGGCTGTCCAGTCTGTCAGCTGTTCTCTTCAGAACACTCACTACTCCATTAGAACCCCTATGACTTGAAAAACGTTCAAGTTCCTGCAGTCACCAAAATAAAATAAGAAACAATAATCTCTTGATTTGCAGCAAACTACAGAAGGCTAGGTTGTAATCAACACACAATGCTCAAATATGTGACATAATATTTGTGATAAGGCTGAAAAAGTAGGCTCAACAAACAGGAGTTATGCTAGTTATTTTGTCCTCACATATTGCTGTTTACATTCATTTCAGTATATAATTAATAAAATTATTTACATAACTTATAACTAACATAGTTAAAAGATGTTTCTTCAGCCACATGTTGTTTATAGTTTTTAATTTAAACCTTGCAAGTGTTTATGGGAAATGTAGTTAAAACAAGCATGTCAAAAATAACAACAGCAGGTGATTGAGTTAAATTAAAATGTTTATTAAGAACGTGGAATAATCTTTTCTACCTTTTTTTTATTTTCAGCTACCCCAACCAGCTTATTTAATGTATTAAATTTGATATTGATAAATTAATATTGTTAATAACATTTGGAAATTTTATGAAATTCCAAATTCCAAAATTTGCCGTTAGTTAGATGATTCCATATTAAGTTGATTTAAAGAAGTCGGTTTCCAGTAGGAATGTTACAGCACTGTACTTCTAAGTACCATATAGTGATCTAATGCAAGAGCTTTCAATCTAAGAACCCAGGTTCTATTTATGAAATACTTTCCTCTTTTCAGAAAAAAAATGGCCATATTAAATTTTAAAAGTAGGTAGGTTATGCATTTTATATATTTACAGTATGTAACATATACAATATCTTTTCAAGAAATATGATTATTGCACTAAGAAAAAAACATTAAATGAAGCTACTGTTTCAGTAAGATCTAACGCAACACCCGTGATACCTATCAATCTGCTCTGAGCAGTGAAGTACTTAAAGCAGTGTGCTGAACAGAAGAGTATTAAAGCTTAGTATGCTATTTGCTGGTGTGAATTTTGATGCACATTATATATTTCTGCATCTGCAAGTTGGTATCTGTTTTTGCTACAAGTCTTTCAGTTGCTCGCCAGGAAGCAAGGGATCCAATAGTCACTCCACTGGGGTAGCAGGGTGGGAACGGGGAGAGCACTGACTCTAATCCCTAAATTCTAAATTGCCAGTTTAGCCATTTTGACCTTTGTATCAGGATTAACCCTGAACCTTGGTAATTTAGAGTCTGATTTTTGTCTGCTTTTTAGGGCCATCATAACCTTAGTTTATGTTCTTTTTTTATTATTGCAATAGAAAAAAAAATAAAAATCTGGATTTATTTTTTTAATTATCATCATGGTTGTTTTACTTCATTTTTTACATTACTAAATGACATTTTTACCTTACATGAGTGCTAGCATTAAGAACCAGATTATTGAGAAACTGAAGCAAACCCTTATCTAGGGTTTGGGTTAGCTTTCCAAGATTACTTAAGAGATTTCTTCTCCTCATGGCTTTGTTTGAGGATAAATGTTAAGTGTAGGGTGAGTGACACTTTACTCTTATTTTTAACTTTTCTATGTATTGGTGTGTTTACATTGCAATACCCCTAACAGTAGCTAAACTACAGTATGTAATGCAGTCAAATCAAATGTTTTAAGAAACATCAAACATTCTGAATTCTTTGTTGACCTGCAGGGAAGACAATCAAATGTTTGAATAAACACTGAACTCTGTCATTTCTTGCATTTAAATTAAAAGATAGGTCTGACCAAACTGACATCCTCAGATCACCAAACCTTGAAGGCGCTGATGAAGGAATCTGAAACTCCTCAGTTTATCAGTGCAAGTTCAGGGACAATTCACTCCTTCTCCTTCCGTCCAGCATCGGGACCAGGGCATGATGGCTCCATCTTCCTAGGTTGTGCTTCTCTCAATCAGTTGGTTCAGATCCCAGCCACTCCTACATCATTGATAAAGCCTTCTTCAGAGGTTTATTGCTGTTATTATCATTTACAGTATAATTATAATGCATTTGGTGTGAGTGTTAGGTTGATGCAGTGTATTTAGTTATTTGCTTTAGGTTACATCCCTTTGTGTTTGTCCAGCTTTGTAATCTATGAAGCAGAATGATCAGGAATGAATCTGCTGGCTTTCTGTTCTGAAGGTCTGTGAAGCTCCAGTTTGCTTAAATCATTTATACTTGAACAGTATGTAAAACACTTGTGGCTGCCATTGAAACTTCTCAAAATATATTTTTTTACAAAATTTATAGCATAGTATCAAAGACTAAGTGCCGAGACCGAGTGCTCTAGAACTCTAGAAATCAACATTTATAATAATAATATAAACTACAGTACATGGAATATTACTGGCTTTCAAGCAAGGTCCAATACCATGAAGTACTGTAATACCAGAGCAAAAGGACAGTCAAGTGCTCATCTTCATTTGTGCAGAAACACTATTTTGCAAAACAGCAGCCAGAGTAGCATAAAAAGTATCATGGCAACTTGTAAGGACAGTGTGTAATGTGAGTTCTGTCCCATGATTTTAGCAGTTTTAGTCAACATGGCCAGAAAGGGTGACAGATTCCACAGGTATTTGTGGAGTCATCTTGGCAACAGGCAACACCACACTATTTTTAAATTCTACACACATACACATACTGTTGGTTTTAATAGCATCGTAACCCTTTTGTTTTATTTTTACTTTAACTTTCCCAGATTTAAATTGTTGTAAACAAGGGACTTCCATGAAACCCATGAATAATCACTAAAGATGAATTCACATAAACAACAAAAAGTTTTTTGTTTGCTTTATACAAGAAAAAATAACCTTCTTCAATAGATTTCTTTTTCACAGCTATTACATTTCTAAGATGATTTTGAAGTGCTGGTTATCTTTCTTGGAACAACAAAATGAGAATGTATTGCACTGGCAGTGTTGACACTATAGTTCAATTTTTTTACTGCTTTTACAATTAAAAAAATGTAAAATTTTTACAAAGTAAAAATACTCAAATGTAATTATTTGAAAAAAGTAAAACATTAATAGCAGATTTAGTTTAAAACTTAAATTTGTTGAGCCCAGCTTGTTTGTTTCCTATATACAGTACCAACTCCTGTGAGATACTCCACCGAGCTTCAACAAATCTTCCATCATATAACAAAGAACAAGCCATGAAATAGAGCTGCTGTGGGTGTTCAGGGTGACAGGGCTCCATCTGCAAACAGTGTGTAACAAATGAAAAAAGGAAAATAAACAGGATGTATTAAAACTGGTGAAACTGGACTCGTTGAACTGGTATCAATAAAAGCTTGAATTGAATAAAGAGAGAAACAGTGATCTGATTAAAACATTTTATTCCAGTTTTGCCCACCACATTGCAGATTACGTCATTACATGACATTACTGTGCTAGAAACAAATGCACAAATGCAGAAAGGAAACAATCTGAATCCTGAAACAAAGCAATATAAAAACAATTTGTATAACCTTAATCTTAATATATAATCTTCTTAATCTTAATCTATTATGTTAAATATGTGATAAATTTATTTCTCTTTTCTCTTTTTTGTGACTCTGATCTTTTTGAACATCAACTGCCTTTCCAAGGTATTCACACCTACAGTATATTGTCCGTCTGTGAAAATACAAAATGATTGTACACAACATGTTGATTGAAGTATTCAGACCCTTAGATAAAATAAATTAACTTTTTTGGCCATATACAGTTTCACACATTAGGAATTTGTCTTTTCACGTACCCCAACTTGCTCTCCCTGAGACACACAGACAGGGAAAGAAGCTTGGAGTCACAGCACAGGGTCCACCATTATACAGCACCCCCCAAGCAGTTGCAGTTAAGTGCCTTGCTCAGGGGCCCAAGGGAGTAGGATTCCTCTGCTGGCTAGAGGAATTAAACCAGAAACCTTCCAGCCATAGGTGCAGATCCTTAGCCACAGAGCCACCACTCTGTTTTTTTGGGCAAGTCTCTACCAACTTTGTACACTGTCTTGGTGTCATTTGTGCTTGTTCTTCTGTGCAGTTAAGTTATATGAAGTTGCTTGGGGACAGGAACAGTAGTTTTCCAGCCCTTCCACAGATCCTTAATAGTATTCACATTAGGACTTTAACTGGGCCACTCAAGGATATTCACCTTCTTATTAACCGCTCTGGTGTAGCTTTGACCATGTGTTGAAAGATTAATTTCTGCACCAGTTATTAGTCTTTAGAAGACCGAAAACAGGTTTTCCTTTAGTATTTGCCTGTACTTTGCACCTTCCATTCTTTCTTCAATCCTAACAAATTTCCCAGTCCCTGCTGTGAAGAAGAATCCCATAGTAGGGATAGTTTTGATGAAGTGAAAAGGTGTGTTTTATTTCCATCAGATATAAGGTTCTGCTCATTGACCACAAAATCTTTTTCCATGTGTTTGTAGTATCACTTAGATGATTTGTTGCAAACTATATGTGGGATTCAAGATGGATTTGCCACCCTTCCATAAAGGTCAGCTTGTGGAGTGACCAGGATATTGATGACTGATGCATACTGATGCATCTCCCATTCTTTCAAAGTTGTCACTGGCCTCTAGTGGCATCCCTATTTATCACTATTTTCCTCTGTGACCAGCTGCTAAGTTTGGAGATACGGCCTGACCTAGACAGGTGGCACAATGCACCTTCCATTTCTTAATGCACACGGGGATCATCAGAGACTTTGATAGTTTTTATACCCTTCCTCCTGATCTGTGCTTTTCAATTAAATTATCCCTAATTTGCTGTGAAAACTCATTAGTTTTCATAGTTGACTATGGGCTTGTAATTCACTATGTGATCCAAGAACCCCGGGAGTCTTTTTATTCCTAAATCATGAGAATTTGGATATTGTAATATTGAAAATATGTATATTGAAAATGGATATTGTAGACAGAAACCACAAACCTGTGTGGCTCATTAAAGCAATTTTGTACACCTATGTTAATTTAGGTTCACCCTAGAAAAGGATTTGAATGCTTGTGCAATAATAATTTATACCTTTTTCTTTCATATTCATTAAAATCAAATTACCTCTTTGGTTTTGCTTTGCGTGGTGAAGGTTCTGTATAAAACAAGTGCTACTTCAAAGTGTAATGACTACAATCGTTATTGTTTGAAATGTGCAGGTGTATGAATACATTTTTAAAGCACTGTACTTAGAGCCTCATGGAGACTTGTCATCTCTTTCAGAGACCCAGAGGTTTCCTCTTTTTTTAAAGAAAAAGCACTGTCAGCATTATCACTGTGTGAAGCCATTAAGGAGAAATGCTTGAATAATAAGAAAATAATTGTGGGCTATTAAGATGTACAATCTGTCAATGTATATCTACTGTAAATGTACCAGCAAAATCCTGATCTTCTCAGGTTGAATAATAAGTGAAGGATCCCCCCAATCTAATCACTTTTACCAAACATGCACAACAGTGATATCATTTTCAACAGAGAACAAGTTAACAAGTTCATTTTATGTCATAAAGCAACTGTTAAGAAATTCAAAAAGTTGATGTCATAAAATATACAAGATGAAGATGCTGTGCATATTACGTTTTATTCCAAAAACACAGCCCACATTTCCACAGTCTGTCAGACTGTGAACGTACAGAGCTGGCACTGTTAATAGGTGAAGGCAATTACAGTGTCTGCTTTAATCAGGGTAATTTAAGAAGCTTTATACATGTTTTATAGAGTCATGAAAGAGCAGTTTTTGTTCTCAAGACCTCTACAAGCACTCACAGACTATGCTGATTGCTAACTGGAAAGGATAGTACACAGCACTTTTAAATTAAATACCTCTTCAATGCATTTATATAAAGACTTTTGTAACAAATAGAACTATGTTATAAATTATATTACTTATACATATAATGACATAATTGTTACCAGAAAAACATAATTAAATAAAATTCACATTAAGGAAATGAATACAGCTAGGATGTAAAAACAAAAATAGAAAGTAACAAGCAGCATATAATTTACATGAGCTTTTCTCAGCTGCAGTTAAAAGAGCTGGTTAGAGCAGTGGTAGAATTTAATATTCACTGTTTAATAGTTTAAAATTCATTGCTGCATTTAGTCCTTCACAGATCCTAGTTCTGCAGGCAGACCTTCAGACTGTCTCCACTTGGCATTGCGTAGCTGAAACCATTTCTGAAACAAAAGACACACATTGCCAGGACTTAGAAACAGCTCTAAAGAAGTTTTTAAATGCTGTACATATGACCAGTACAAATCTTTTTTTATTTTAACTAACAATCACTCACCACCACATCACTTTTAATAACTGATTATCCAATTCAGGCTCATGATGGCCTGGAGCCTATTCTGGGAAGGCTTGATACACCCTGGATGAGTGGCATCACAGGGCACACAGACACAAACACACACACTCACACCAGGGCCAAATTTTACATATGTAAATTAACCTACCAGTATGTGTTTGGACTGTGGGAGGAAACGCACATACACATGGGAAGATCATGCAAACGCTATGCAAACAGCACCCCAGGTATTAAATGTCTGCAAAGCAGCAATGCTAACCACTGTGCCAGCATATCGCCTCTATGAAATGACCCATTGTTCACAAAACACTAGAATTGGGCAGAAGACTCCTATATTAAAATATGTACAAAACTATAAGATTGGTTGATCTTTTAGATGATTCTGGGTAATAGAAACAATATTATTATAAAATGATTATAACAATCATTTTTTCCTACAAACTAATGGAAAAAACAATGCTTAAAACATTTATATATTAAGAAAAAGAGGTCCACGTGTTTTATTAAGGAAACTGAGATAACTATGAAGTAACAGGTGGCTGTTTCGAATAATAAGCTGTAAACTGCAATAATCTCACACACAGATTCTGAATTTACAGTATACCATTTATTTAATAAACCCCAAAACTTCCATAACAGAACAACAAATGTAACAGAATTTTTGTGAAATGATCTGCAGTCTGTGCACTGTTGTATGCCTTGGTCTGGCCGCACGTGAGATGGATGGGGAAGAGACTAGGTTTATCCTGGTTATGGCTTTTGCTGAATATACCTGAATATTCAGAATGTCGACAAAAAATTTCCACCTGTGTTGATCAGGTGAAAATAACAGTGGGTTTCCCAACACAAGATTTTTTCAGTTGCAGCAAAAATGTCTTGGGCAGAATTATGTTCTTTACAGACTCAATCTCCTGGCGTGACAGTATGCACTCCTGACTTGGGCTGCTTGTGGTCTAATGGTTGGAAAGGTCAGATTCCCAGGTTAGTTAGAAAGAGAAGATTAGCAGTGAGTTAATCGATGAAAATAAAGTGTGTGCTTTATTTTAAGGTATAACATCACAGTTGGTGATTGGTCAGGATATTATGCGGTATAATCCTTTTACCCACCCTGCAGGTCCCTCATTTGTGGATTCTCCTTTTTGTGATGGACTTAGCAGAAAGAGACTAGAAGAGTCAATTGACCAATCTGCACCATACATTCTTGGGGAGTTTTTGGTTGAATACAGCTTTAATGATGTACCGGTCTGTGGACATCTTGGAAGCTCTTTCTTATCATATAGTCCTCTACTAGTCCTCCTAATAATCCCCCTCTATGAATTGGCTTCATTACTCTGCTCTCCTCCCAACTGATAGCTGATGTGTGGTGGGCGTTCTGGCGCACTATGGCTGCCGTCGGATCATCCAGGTGGATGCTGCACATTGGTGGTGGTGGGGGGGAGTTCCCATTACCTGTAAAGCGCTTTGAGTGGAGTGTCCAGAAAAGCGCTATATAAGTGTAAGCAATTATTATTATTATTAATATTAATTACTTACCTGTATTTCTCTGCTTGTATGCATAGGCCCAAGTTGCTTTGTCAATACAACAAAAGGATTACTAGAAATATTCCATAACACTTATTTCTAAGTGTAATAATATGCCTTTCAAACTACATGTGTAATACAGAATGTTGAAGAAAACTGCATTCATGCCAGAGTAATTTTTGAAAAAGTAAGTGTTCAAATAGAAAACAACAGCTTCTAGGAGCACTGACCTGAACATGACTCAAAAACTACTTTAAATGTCAATTTGAATAAAAAAAGACTTCTGAATGTACCATTTAAGGATGTGAACAGCGAGGTGTATCGTCATTTAAAAAGACCTGTCGGAATAATTGTTTTTCTCATCCATCAGATACCACCCAGAAACAGTACTGAAATTCACACCAGCTATTGAAGACTGAGAGCAAGTCAAAGCCTGTTAAAAGAAGCTACCCGGTCAAGATGCTGTTTCTGCTTAATTTTCATTCACTTTTGTATCTGAACAAAAGAAATCAACTTTATCTATCGTCTAAGGAAGACAAGCAAGTGGAACCAGTTTGATATTGAAAAAAAAATTACATGGCACCTTTTTTTCTGACAAAAATAATAACTTCTAATTCTAAAAATAACTACCTGACCACAAATACTGCCTCAGGAGCGTATATGAATAATAATGAATACCAAGTATTAAACACACAGGAAACACGGTGAAACATTACAATTTAGATAAAAGAGTAATTACAGGTAAAAAACTATAGACCTAAGACTCAGTTTATGGACAAGTTTATGGACATTTTTCAATCTAATGTATCAAATTTACATCAGCAAAATGGTTTCAAGATCATTTACCCTTAGAGCTGCATGCTTTCTATATGATCTGTTCCTATTTGCTAAAAAACAATAATGTGCTGTATAACTCCTCAAAGTACAAATGTATTATAGTTATTTGAAAATGCAATTAAACTTTATTTAATTATTTTGTTGCTACCATTAATTTAATAATTATAATTCCTTACATTTCTGCAGAGATTTTCATGAAGGAGCATCCTAAAGCTCTTCACATACTGTATACCAGGGGTTTCACTTCAGCCACTGTGGCTTGTGAGGGATGCTCACTATTGTGTACTAGCAATGCCAAAAATGTGTTCTGGAAGCAAGTGTAGGATATACTGTATAACAATGAAAAATAATTAGGAAAAGCTACATGAGCTTTGTAAAAAAAAGTGTATTGTATTATAACCCTTTTCTTTTTGGGGTTTTATTTCTAGTAGTGTTCACAAACTTTAATACCACTTTTTGAAAAAATTTTCACTGCACATTATGAACAACAACAAGAGATAAGAATTTAAAAAGTATTATTCAGGCATGTAATTCTGACAAAACAATACTTTGTGAATAACAGCAGATTCACAATCCATTAAAATCATATTGTCAAACCTGGGTATATTTTTGTACTGTATTTTGTATATATTGTAGTGCTGCACAGCCAGGCAGTGGACTGACCCATGAGCTCTCCTCTTTCCCCTTTATCAGGCTCACTCTTTCCTCTTCCCCTCCTATAAAAACAGAGGCTAAGTCTCTATTCAATTCAGTTCAATTCAAGAAGCTTTACTGGCATGACCAATTAATTTCAGTGTTGCCAAAGCATAAACAATTAACATAACATCTTAAAACATTTACAATACAGACACATCATAATTCATTTACATACAAACATACAGTATGGAGCATTATTGAGAGATAAGATCACTGTTCCTCAGGCTGTGACAGGAGATCACATACTCGGCTACCAGTTCAACTGAGTTCCTTACTCCCTCTCCCAGTAGGATTGGGAGCTGTTCTGTTCTGGCAGGTGTGGGAATTCTGGGATTAGATTAATTTGGGTAAGAATGTTTGTCTAATCCCAGAATATTTGTCACAGTACAGTCGGAACTGTATCTTTGTCTCTGTTTTTTCCTGCTGGCAGTGGGAGCACAACCTGTCTTCTCTGTACAGCCAGATCTGCCTGTGTCACCCATGCATGATTGTGGTCACTGAGTCTGTACTTCAGAGAAGTACTTCGTTCTACCTCTTTGTCCTCATATCTGTCCAAAGGATGCTCTATCTCTATCTCAGGCCTTTGCAGCTTTCTCCCTGCAGTGACTAGCACACCCTTTTGTAAACACCAGGGCAATAAACCTGCTGGAGCCTGATTCACCTTCTCCAGCCTGTTTTTCCACATTGCCTTCACTAGTAGTATCGCCTACACATCGCCTAGGAAACACTGCGACTGTACATCACGTTTGTTGTGAAACCTTTACAGTATGAAAATGAATGTTGTTGTCTTGTAACAGAGGTGTTTTTGTAACAGAGGTGACTGTGGGATAGGAAGACACTTTTCATCTTGTGAGTTGAAACTACATGTAATGAAAAAAACCTGCAACCTACTTTGATAAAATCAATGTACCTGTTTTCCATTTCCTTTTTATGTATTGAGCATGATGAAAAAATAATTTTGGTATGTGAAAAATGCTCTACAGCCCCATCTATGCAGTACTCCATCTACCTAAATACAGGGTTAATATTATAATTACACTGTCCGGCCCATATTTTAAGCACTGTAGAGATTGATTTAGACTTTGCCTGCTGCTTCAACAGCCATGGATAAACTTTGATCTAATTTTTATCAGGATGTGAAGGCCTCAGACAATGTGACCTTTTCACTGTAAATCTGGTTTTAATTCTGTAACTTTGTACAGATGTTACATGATATGATTATGTTAGGGGGCTGGTTTAAATTATACTTGGATTTAAACTTAATGGTATAACGAGTCAAACGTTTAATCTTTCCTCCACTTTGTTTCTGTACTTTGAAATTTACTGCACTAAGCAGCCAGAGTACAATTAGTATGCTTTTGTTAATGAGCACCAAAGCCATACTGAAGGATTGTAATTTGTGTCTATTACATTTGGTAACTGGTAAAGTTTCAGCATATTCATAACAGATGAATAACACTCATTGAAAGTGAGCAGGACAAAGAGAGGGGAGTGGAAAATTTTGCTCAATAAAACTTGCTCAACTTCATTTTGCCACTCCCCAATAAAGAAATGAATATTAATTACCTGACAGTATAGTTGAGAAGTTTAATACATATATACTAATGCATATAAGCATGCAATAGACATACAGAGTGAAATATTATAAAACCTACAGTTACATAACTTAAATAGCCCATAATTAAAAAAAAATATCATTTATAAATAATACAGTACATTTCAAATCGAGCAGCTGTTCATCCCCTAAAATTGCTGCCTAAATAGAGCTTCATACAATTACTGTCGTCAACGAAGAAAAACCAAGGTTGAACAAGCCTTTAGGAGCGCTAGCAAACTTGGATCGCTAAAGATCCTGGTGGAAAATCTTATCATGTGAAAAGGGGACAAAACAGTATAAAACAGTGTCAGCACTGAAAATCCACGTATTAGAATTCAGATTTTTAAGAAAACGTGGCCTTATAATGTATCAGTGCATAACCGATAAAGCCATTAAACATCAAATGTTATTTTTTCAGCCTAAAGTATACTACATACTGTATGTAAATAAAAAAGGTTTAAAGTAATCTTTTTTGTCGCTTTCCAATACACCTTCTTTATAGAAAATAACCTAAAGGTTTTTTAAGGAAATAACCGAATTCTCTACAGAAAGCTTTTCTATAGACATATGGCCCATTTCTATAGAAACCTATGGGTAATCCTTTTGTTAAATTACCACGTGTTTATTCAAACAAAATTCAAAAAAGGCTGTGAAGTATCTTTTTAAAGTGATATTTTACCTTTATTGTTTCTTTGATACACGTCAATATTTATTCAGACTGAAAACATATGGTTAACCCCACGAACTGTTCTTTTACACTTTAAATATCCTTACGAACACCTGCGTATTAAAATGTTTTCAGTTTAAACACAATTATGACATGATGCCGGACTCAGATACTCACAGCAGTGTCTTCTTCAGACAGTCCGCATTCAGCGGCGATCAGCATAAGTGTAGCTTGATCTGGATGCTTGCTTCCTTTCAAAAAATTTTCTTCTAGAGATTTGATCTGGTCCTCCGATAACTCCAAGCTCTCCATTCCGTCATCGCTTCTCTTCGAAGAAGCCATTTCTCTTTCAAAAATACGATTTCCAAGAAGAGTCTTTTATGAAAACTGAGGCTGATGCTCGCATGCAAATAATGCTCGCGCCAAGCAAGTCAACAGCAGCAGCTGTAACGTAAATAAGAACAAACAAGTCGCTCGTAAATCTGACGGTCACCAAATCAGCCTTCATTTTAAGCCTGGGCTCAGTGAATAGCCACAGAGAAAACAGAAGAGGCGGACAAAATAATATTTTAAAATAAAAGTTTTGCAAAAAAGCCATTTATTATTTAAACACGCATTCGATTTAAGTTTAATGTGACCCTAATGCCACATTGAGACAAACATTTTTAAACCCACAATTACATATGCAAAATATATATAATGGTATTTAATGTACCTGCGTCCAGTCGTGACACGTGTCTTAGGATGTTTTGAGTCTCTGAAAAAATACCGTAGCTTTCCATATGGAAATACTGGCCGAATGACGTCAGCTTAGTGCTGCGCAAGTTTCTGTCGGGAGAGCAGGCACCTGCAGAACCTGTTTACCAAGGTGAATATCATTCCATTAAAAAATAAGAATGGTAACAATTACCTTGTCTGAACGTATGTATGGACAAACATGTTTTTCATACTAATCTTTTGCAACTGAACAGTCGACAAGCAACCTTTAAATGGGGCACCTTAAGACTTTGAATACCCTCTAGAATCTAGATTTTACTTGTACGTCTTATCGAATAGTTTAAATTGGAGTCAAAACCTTCCACTAAAAATCTGTATGTGTAAATTACCCCTCCAGACACGTGTAGATAACTGCAATATAGACGATTAAAATATCTCTTGATCCAATAATTAGCTTTAAAAATAATGTAAGGAACGCTCCCGTTTCGGCAACGGCAACGTTAGGAACAACAGGCTGGTGAAAACGCACAGTTGTATTGCTCTTTTCATTACACCGTGCTAGTCACGGAGCAAATTAAGCTAAGAAGAGAGAGAGAAAGCAGACATCCTCTGGACTCAAAGGAGGGAAAAGACAGCGGGGTTAGCTCCCTGGTTTTATAGAGAGAAACGGCAGGAAAGGGTGAACCTGTGGTAAAAGGGGAGGGGTCGTGCAACAGTCCAGAGTCGGGGAGTGTCGATCTCTCCACAACTCCCCCCCAAGTCCCTTGTCTCCGAGGGAGACTTTGAAATCCCAGTGTGGGACTGACTGTCTTCTGAGTAGAGGGAAGGAGAAAACATTCAGTTGTCTTGTCCTGCAGGACGCTGGGTAGCCTGCACCCTCTCTTGGACTGTTTTGAGCCTGGCTTTGTGTTACGAAGCGTCTTTCAGGACCCTATGCAGACAGCACAATCCGGAAGGGAGTGAACACACACTAGGAGGAGACGAGGAACTAGAGTAGTCAACTAACAGGGGGGTGTGATGAGTGTGCACTGGTGCTCGGGGGGGGGGGCGTAGTCCAGGCAAACAGATCTGAAGGAGTCCAAGGGGAAAACCGGAACAAAGTCCAAAAGTCCAAAAAATCCAGGGAATCCAAATGACAACACGGCAAAGTTAAAAGCCGCAGCTGGATCCGGCGAGGGGTCAAAGACAGACAAGACAAAGTAAAAAACCGGAGCAGGATCCAGAGAAGGGTCAGGGAGAAAAAGGGGGAACGGGACCGGGCGCTCCAAGTCCCGGACTCGGCTGGTTCGGGACGCCGATAGGAGGCGAATGCCCCCTGAGCCGCGGACGTAGGGTGACTCGGTGGTAGGCGGGCCTCCAGGCGTCTGTGTTCCAATGCAGAACCTGGAATAGAGTGAGTGTCTGGCTTTTGTAGGGAGGCTGGAACAGGGAGCAGGTGCACAAAATCAACTAAAATGTGAACAAGCCGGAGCGCTCTTAAGAGGGAGGGATTTCAATCGTGACACTTTGGTTCTCTTGCTGTCCTCTCTGGAGGGCAATAGGGTCCAACAGCTCACATCTAATGAGGGGCAATAGCAGGTCAAAAAGGCACGCTGGTTTAGAGGCTGGGTGGCAGCCTCTATGGAGCTCTGGCAGCAGGGTCCCACAACTCACAGCATTTGCAGGTCTGTAACCACTCTCTGATCGTCTGGAGCCTGGATTCAGCACTCCTGCTGTCCTCTGTGGAGGACACATTTTTTTGGCTGCAGGGTCCAGCGCTCATGGGTCCACATGGTGTACCCGCAATTATGCCGGACAGTGTCCTCTCTGGAGCTCTGGCAGCATGGTCCTGTGGCCTGTGGTCAGTGGGGGAGCCTTGTCCCTGTGCAGATGTGTTAGGCACTGTTGGACAGCACCCTCTGTCAGTTTGGAAGCTCTGTGTTGTCTCTGACTTCGGTGGATGGAGAACGGTGTGAACCTTGACCTGAAGGGCACAGGACACAAGGGAACTGTTGCATAAATGCCACCTTCAGCGTGCCAGTCCATCACTCCCCCAGCTGCTCTGCTTTGGCTCTGTCGTTCTGCTGTGTTCCAGGTTTTACAACCCGAGGCAGAGCATCCCACTGTTTACACCAATGCAACAAAAGCTCTTTGGCAGCAGCGACATCAGAAAGGACAATCTGGAGACAACTCACTGTCAGTCGCATTGTCCTTCTCATAACCAAGGGGCATGCAACTCATGGAACAGCTCAAGGTAGAAGGCAGAGATGAAGCAGACATCCTCTCCGGTTTTATAGAAACAGCAAGAAAGTGTGAACCTGGGTTAAAAGGACAGAGGTCATGGTGACAGTCTAGATTAGGAGGGTGTGGACTGCTACAGTAGAATTTTAACATTTCAATTGCTTCAGTCAATATATACAATGCAGAATTCAAAAACTACTAAAGGGTTTTATGGGTTAATTGTCAAAACCACAACGATATCTGCGATGCATGTCTTTTTTTAAATAAAGCAATAAGGATTAAGGTATAATGAGTGAAAATTACTCAATACAGTTTGTATGTGTGCCTTTTTGCCACATGTCTTCCTGCATGTGGAAGTGTTGCCCAATAGGCTTGGAAGCATTTTCTTCTATGTAAGCAGGGAAAAAGTTATACTGTATGCAAAATTCAAAATTCATTCTACTGCTGCCAACATAAGGAACAGGTGTGGAAAAAAGTGGTTTAGGGCAAACAGGCACTTTATTTCTCTCATTTCTCTGGAACTTGGAGTTTTAAATAGATTGAATAATAACAAATGTGACATTCTTGATAGGCATGAAAATATTTCCCCTTAAAAATATACTATGTTGTTATCTGTTTTCTTTCCACAGAAGGTTGGATTTGCCATCTTCTAACCTCGGGAATCATAACTAGCTTCTGCTTTGTTTCCATTAGAACTGTTGTCTTGAAATGTAACTGAAGACCTTGAAAAGGCTGGTGATCACATGGAAATTACACAGATGTTGGCTTAGCTCTTGGGAAGCTGAAACATCTGGAAATAAAAATTACATTCTTACAGTATGATAATAAAGGAAGAAATTAAACTACTATGTATTATTAGTAGTAGTAGTATTATCATCACAGACCTTCAGAACAGAAAGCCAGCAGATTTGTTTCTGATCATTCTGCTTCATAGATTACAAAGCTGGACAAACACAAAGGGATGTAAACTAAAGAAAAGAACTAAAGTAAATCCACTGCATCAACCTAACACTCACACCCTATGCAATATACTTATACTGTAAATGATAATAACAGCTGTAAACATTCAGAGCAGTGGCTCTGTGGATAAGGATCTGTGCCTGTGGCTGGAAGGTTGCTGGTTCAAATCCTGCAGCTGGCAGAGGAATCCTACTCCGTTGGGCCCCGGAGCAAGGCCCTTAACCCCAGCTGCTCCAGGGGTGCTTAACAATGGCTGACCCTGTGCTCTGACCCCAGGCTCTCTCCCTATCTGTGTGTCTCATGGAGAGCAAGCTGGGGTATGCGAAAAGACAAATTCCTAATACAAGAAATTGTATAGGGTTAATAAAGTGATGTTATAAACTTCTGAAGGAGGCTTTATCAATGATGTAGGAGTGGCTGGAATCTAAACCAACTGATTGAGAGAAGCACAACCTAGGAAGATGGAGCCATCATGCCCTGGTGCCGATGCTGGATGGAAGGAGAAGGAGTGAATTGTCCCTGAACTTGCACTGATAAACTGAGGAGTTTCAGATTCCTTCATCAGCGCCTTCAAGGTTTGCTGATCTGAGCATTCAGTTTGGTCAGACCTATCTTTTAATTTAAATGCAAGAAATGACAGAGTTTAGTGTTTATTCAAACATTTGATTGTCTTCCCTGCAGGTCAACAAAGAATTCAGAATGTTTAATGTTTCAGAACATTTGATTTGACTGCATTAAATACTGTAGTTTAGCTACTGTTAGGGGTATTGCAATGTAAACACACCAATACATAGAAAAGTTAAAAATAAGAGTAAAGTGTCACTCACCCTACACTTAACATTTATCCTCAAACAAAGCCATGAGGAGAAGAAATCTCTTAAGTAATCTTGGAAAGCTAACCCAAACCCTAGATAAGGGTTTGCTTCAGTTTCTCAATAATCTGGTTCTTAACACTAACACTCATCTAAGGTAATATTTAATCATTTAAAAATATATATTATTGAACCTGGGTCTTTTCAAGATGAAAAAAAGAAAAGCAAAAACTGACCAATCTCGAGCAACAATTAGCAATGTTCTTGTTAAATATTTTTGTCTGTGTGTTTTGTTGCTTAAAAAAAGTGTTGAAGGGCTGACATATGACAGTCCACTGAGTGCCTGATTAGCCAATCACTGGCTAATCACTGGTCACTGGACACTACTGAAGTAAAGTGAAACACAGATACTTTCGAAAACGAGACATGCTGAATGTAGGGGAGAATAACACTGAGGTTATTGTCAGAACAAGAGTGGAAACAGATCTGAGGAAGAGAGAGGGATGAACAAGATGACTTATTTTGAAATGAGTGGGAGGAGATATTATTGATGTTGAGGTTTGAGGTGCATCAAGGAGACGGCTGGTGCAGTTAGTGTCACAGGAAGAGATGAGAGTCTATTCTGTACCTCTGTAATTTGAGCTATATTGGCTGAATTAACTTGTTTGCAAACCTTATGTTGTAGCTCTGTAGAATCTGCACAAAAGTTGTACAAATATAAGGCTTTATAGTTCTATAGTAGGCTAGCTTGTTTAGTGAAATAAGATATTTTTTTTTAAATAAGAACACTTTTTTAAAATAAGAGAATACCTGGTTTAACTCATGAAATGAAGATCCACAATAGTTACATTAACAGGGTTATCACAAACCCTACCCTGAGCTATAGTGGTCCCAAGGATCTGCACACACAAAAAACACAATGGCCACAAAAAAAAGGGCCAGAAGGCTTTTTGCCTTTCCATGGTTTACAATAATCAGCACCTAACGATCACTCAACCACAGTGAAGCATGCAGGTGCTTTATACTGTACATACCAAACAAGGGCTTGATTACACACATATGAAAATGTGAATGTTTCACCCTTTTACCAGTACCCAATAATTAAGTAAATCACC